CGTCATAAGGGAAACTGAAACATACGTATATTGCTAAGATCATATGCAGTAAAACACAATACTGATTGCATCACCGGGCATCCAATACACATAGTTGCTAAACTGAAACCATGCATCTACCTGACTAAATCCTCCAAGCCAACCTCCTTAAACTAAGTGATAGAAATAGTTATAGATGACAATCATATTTACTAACTCTAAAAGAAAAATCACCTATATACTTATAACATGTTTACCTTAGCTAAATAAATACAAGTTCACATAGTTTGCAGTTCGATCATCAATGGTGCTCAAATGCAACAATCCATTCCCCTCCCCTGTTCCCCTCCCCTGAAAGAAAAATAACATTATAACCTCTGCAACATTCACACCTAGACCAAATCTTGAGGGCCATGAAGTATATATCTTAAATCATTCTCGCCTCTGTTGAGAAATGTGAATAGTTTGTAAAAATAACTAAAGGAAAGTCCTTGAAAAAGGTAAGTGAAGTTAATTTGGATTAATTTTCCGTATTGAAGGAAACGTTTCCTCAATCAGAATTAATTGACCGAATTAACGGAAAGTTCAATCAATTGAGTTGATTTTCCATTTTGAAGGAATCTTTAATGATCAGATTAATTGCCCATACTAACGGAAAGTTTCAATCAATCGGATTGATTTCTGGTATTAAAGGAAACTTTTATCAATCAGGTTAATTGTCCGCATTAAAGAAAGGCATAATCAGGAGTTATTACTCTTGATTTCCTTCCTTAAGAAGATTCTCAAATCCTCCACCAAGAGGGGAAGGTTGAAGGTCTCATCCTATATAAATAGATGAGTTGCCTAACCCTAAAAAAGAATAACGAGCATAAACACAATAGAGAGAGTGTTCAGAGCATTCGGGTTTTCGCACAACATCGCGAGTATTGAGAGGAGCTGTTTTATCCTGGAGACGACCGGTTGATAGTCTGTCGTGCGCATCGAAGGCAGTGCCGCGAACGTCTTAAAGAGAGCGACCTAGTCCGCGACTCAGCTCCAGATTCGGTAACCTCGTTCTTGTTGTTGTAAACCCGAGTTCTCTGAACACTCTCTCTATTGTGTTTATGCTCGTTATTCTTTTTTAGGGTTAGGCACAACACCGCGAGTATTGAGAGGAGCTGTTTTATCCTGGAGACGACCGGTTGATAGTCTGCCGTGCGCATCGAAGGCAATGCCGCGAACGTCTTAAAGAGAGCGACCTAGTCCGCGACTCAGCTCCAGATTCGGTAACCTCGTTCTTGTTGTTGTTCCGTTCCTAACAGCCTCCAATGAGTTTTGCATGACCCGATTAAGGTGAGTTGTACTAGGTGTTGACGAATTTTGGCTCAATAATGAGTTTTCCACGCTTAAATCAAAGGGTATTTGACCTAATGTCGACTCGGTTAAAATGAGTTCAACCCGGTGTTGACAAATTTTTTGAAAGAACAATTTCAAAATTACTATTTCATAAAGTCGCATCACAAGGGGTGTTCTTTTTGTAATTAACTTGGAAGAGTTTTTGTACATTAAGGTTCTAATATATTAACTTGTGACAATTGAATCCAAATTGAACCCAAATCAATTGGTATTCGACCTAATTCGACCCGATTAAAGTGAGTTGAACCCGATGTTGACGAATTTTGGCTCGAGAATGTGTTTTGCACGCATGACCCGATTAAGGTGAGTTGAACCCGGTGTTGACGACATTTGGCTCAACAATGAGTTTTTTAGGCTTAAATCTTGAACCCAAATCAATGGGTATTCGACCTAATTCGACCCAGTTAAGTGAGTTGAACACGATGTTGACGAATTTTGACTCGACAATGATTTTTGTAAGCACGACCCGGTTAAGGTGAGTTTAATATGGTGTTGACGAATTTTGGCTCAACAATGAGTTTTGCACATTTAAATCAATGGGTATTTGACCTAATGTCGGCTCGGTGAAATCAATGGTATTCAACCCGGTGTTGACGAATTTTTGGGTGACAACGAGTTTTACTAATTCAATTCGTTTAAAGCGAGTTGAACTCGATGTTAATGAATTTTTGCCCGAGGACGAGTTTTACATGCTTTTGTGATTGTCGGGTTGGGTCGGTGTGAATTTATTAAAAACTCGCCCAACTTGCCTTTGCTGTCTTTTTGAACCCGGTGTTGCCGAAATTTACATGCTTAAATCAATGGGAGTTGACATCGAAATTAACAAATTTTGGGTCGACAACGAGTTTTACACAAATAAATCAAAGATTATTTGACCTAATTCAACCTCATTAAAGCGATTTGAACTCAATGTTAACAAATTTTGGGTCAAGAACGAGTTTTGCACGCTTTTGTAATTGTCGAGTTGGGTCGGTGTGAATTTGTTGAAAACTCGCCCCACTTGCCTTTGCTATCGTTTTAAACTTTCATTATATTGTTTTCTTTTTATTATATTTTTGACGAATTTTAAGTCAACAACGAGTTTTACAAGCTTAAACCAATGATCATTCAGGTTAAAGCGAGTTTAGCTTGGTGTTAACGAATTTTGGGGTTTCTACCTAATTATTTTGATGATAATTGAATCCAAATTTAACCCAAAAGGTATTCGACTAATTCAACCAATTGTTGGTGAATTTTGGGTCGGGGACGAGTTTTACACGAGTGCCATTCTTGTGATTTAGTGGAAGTTTGAAAGATTATTTGGGAAAGACTTGCTACTTTGTTTTTTTTCATTTTTGTTTTATTATTTACTCCCACACAAAAAAAAAACAATCGATCCGGTCAAAGCGCATTGAACCTGATGCTGACGATTTTTGGGCGAGGACCGAATTTTACTCGCGTTTGCTTCTTTGTTTTCAAAACACTGTTTCTTAGAGTCGCATCATAAGAGTGACCATTTTTTAGTTAGATGAAACTTTGATGGTTTTTTGGTTTTTTTGTTGCTTCTCCTTCTTGCCTTCTTCCCAGCCACACAATTTTCCCCATGTGCAACTGATAGCCACAACCCACAGCCACAAAATAGCATACTGATCTTGTCATGAACCAGTTGATCCCAATAACTTGGGTTGTTGGGAGAGGTTCAATCGTGGATCATATACCACAACACTAACACGCCCCCTCAAACGAAAGCCACTCACAAGGGCTTGAAGTTTGCACAGGTCTGAAGACAAGAATACCATGTGCTTAACAACTGGGGGTCACCGGGAATTGAACACAAGACCTCTCGGTCACAGAAAGCTCTGATACCATGTCAAGAACCAGTTGCTCCCAATAACTCGAGTTAGTGTTGGATTGTTGCATTTCAATACCATTGATGATCGAACTGCCAAAATTCGTCAACACCTAGTACAACTCACCTTAATCGGGTCACGCAAAACTCATTGTCAAGCCAAAATTCGTCAACACCGGGTTCAACTCACTTTAACCAGGTCGAATTAGGTCGAATACTCATTGATTTGGGTTCAATATTTCAGTGTGCGAAAATTATTATTGAGCAAAATTTGTAAACATCGGGTTCAACTCACCTTAACTAGGTCGTGCGTGCAAAACTCATTGTCGAACCAAAATTCGTCAACACCGGGTTTAACTCACTTTAATCGGGTCGAATTAGATCCAATGCCCATTTATTTGAGTTTAATTGTCACAAGTTAATAAATTAGAACCTTAATGCATAAAAATTCTTCCAAGCTTTGGTTAATTACAAAAAGAACACCTCTTGTAACGTGACTCTATGAAATAGTAACTTTGAACTTGTTCTTTTAAAAAGTTAATAATTAATTTGTTGTGTGAATAAGGAAGTTCTAAGGATTTAAGAGTAGAATCTGTATAGTTTAGAATGTTATTGTAATATTCTTTTTTTTATATGTTGACTTGGATATGTTAGTTTTGATATACATATGGTATGTAAATGAATATTGTAAACTTTTTTATCGGCATTAATAGATTTCGGTATGCCTTTATGTTTCTCTGCATTCATTGATTAAAAAAAACCTTCACAACATGGTATCAAATCGGTAATTTCTTGCTTCTAAAGGTAATTTTTTGTCAAATTCGAGTTTCGAGGAGGTGTGAACCATCTTGGTTTGTTTCCTTCTTGCTTCACTTGAAGTTTTCCTTTTCTATCTTCAATCATACGCCTTCTTTGTTAAATTGTTCTTCTATGCTTGAAATCGGTTCAAAATCTTTGTCCGATTTATTGTGTTCCGTCTTTTTTTCCGATGGACTTTTGATTTAGGTAATTGGCTATCTCTTGCTATGTGCTTTGGTTGACTCTATTGGTAAAACTAAATACTATTCTTGATTCCGAATTCAAAAAATTGAAGATTTTGCAACCCTATTTATTCTTCTTCGATCCATATCATCGACTAACGCTTTCTTTCTATTACTAACTGATTTTATTTCCAAAAATTGGTTGAACCCTAAGTTTTGTTTCTAATTTTTCGATCGCACCACTGATCTGTTTACTTATGTTGTTGAAGTCTTCATCAGACGAATTTTGTTTAGGTTCAACTGTCTTTTCTCGTTTGCTTGCATCTAGCGACGATCCTTTGTTTTTCCATGGGGTTATTAATTATTATACAATGATTAAAAGGGGATAGAGGGTTCTTTATAAAATGACTCATAAATTACTCAATTAGCGCATATGACTGAGATCGGTTTATTGTAAACAGTAGTTCAAAACCATTGTAATGGTAATTACTCTTTACGATCGTTGGGTTAATACATATGAGGGTGTGCATATGATATGCCAAAATTGGGAGACTAACATTGTGATAGACTCATGAAATATGTTCATTTTTCGTAAGTAATATTTGCACCATCTACAAAGACTTGAATTACACAAATTTGTTTGTAGGGTAAAACTTTTACCACTTTAGGTTCAATGATTAAGAACACAAAACAAACTTAGAAGTTTTCCCGAAGAAGTATAATAATATGTTTGATGACATATTGCATCATCCACCTATCCATATATTTATAGGGCGCTAATCCATGCATTGTTTCGACTTGAACCATTGTATTGTTTCATGAAGAGTCAGTCTTTATCCCTTTGTAGATTAAGATATTTGATTTGGCCAGTACAACCTTAAACCATTTTGATCGATTAAACCCAAAATGGGTTTGACTCAATTAGTCCGGTTCAAACAAATTTCCACTTCAGACTTGAGAGTCTTAATTCTCCGACAATTGCAGTTGACAATATGTTTTTTTTGGATAATGGTGAAAATATATTAAGAAGACAAAGAAAACAACAATCGTATAGAAACCAACGATCAAAAAGATTGATCTTGGTAAGAAACACGGAAACACAGTCACAAGCAAAAACAAAAACAAAAAAAACTAACACCACAAGTAACAAAAGTGCTAGGAAGATTAGGCCTCCCCTGCACAAAAACACAAGCAAAAAGCCTTCAACACAATCAGTAAAGCCAGGAGAGGGCCAAGCGGATCACACTACTTCCGCCCAGAGACCAACAACACAGAAGACAAATCCCGGGAGAATCCCCAAACATCACAAGAGAAAAGAGAAGCCAGATCCTCCACGACATAAAAAATAAAGCAACTTAGTCATCCCTCAAAGTTAAAAGCCCCATAAAGCAGACAATCTCTCAGAAAGCCACCGACAGCCTTATTCCTTTCGGACTTTGTTACGAGTAACAGTCCACTCAGTCAAGATCTTTATGCCTTTCTAGTGACCACAGCAGCGGAGCACTATGCGTTGCAGAAGATATGTTGGTTTTGTTCAATCCATGTAAACCACTAAAAAGAATGTAGAACACAATAAATGAAGCATTCGTTGATATCATTAGGTGTTTCGTTGTTCCATCTAGCAATGGTGGAAAGAACGTCTCCACTAGGCAGTTCGAACTCTCCATAGACATGCTTCATCCTACCCCAAATTTCCTTGCTGAAGATACAATCGATGAAAAGATGACCAACACTTTCCTCTCTTTTAATTTGCAACACAATTTGCATCGATTGGCAAGCGACCATCCACACCTTTTTAGGTTGTCGAGAGTGATGATTTTGTTGTGCGAAACCAACCAAATGAAAGCGCAAATCTTGGTGGTAACGACCTTTCTCCAAACATACGCGGCGGGGAAGTGTGGAAGACCTGAAAATAGATCGTAGGCAAGAAACATGTACATGGAGTTAACAGAAAAGGTGTTGTCTGTTTAGGGAGGCCAGACCATTCGACTAGGCCCGCTACTCACCCTGTTAGTGCCAACAGTACTCAAGAGATAAAGAAGACTGATCCTTTCCCTCTTAGTCTCCTCTCAAATTAAAAGATAAAGGAATATCCCAAGAAATATTCTCACCATAGCGGGTTATAAAGTACGAAACACAGGCAGCAGGTCTAGTTGTGGCAACATCGATGCGAGGAAATGAGTCAGCCAATGTAATGTTGGGAATCCATCGATCGTACCAGAAAGAGATCCAAGCTCCACTCTCAGGGTCAAATTTGGCAATCTTCCAAAACTCAGTGTAGGCTTTCGAGATGTTAGCCCATACTAAACTACAAAATCCACTGGAACATTCGTCGGTTTGCCAAGAAGAGAGAGCATTGAGGTATTTGACATCGATGACTGATCGCCACCGGCTATCTCTCTCGGGGGAAAACCACCAAGGCCATTTACCAAGCATTTCTTGATTAAATCAAGTGAGATCAGTAATTCCAAGACCGCCATGATCATCAATTGAGGCCATGCAAAGATTCCAATTAACCAGTGGAGCTTTCCTAGTGTCACCCGCCCCACTTCAAATGAACTTGCGTTGAATCGACTACCATCAAAGAAGCCTCCGACGTGGTGGCGGGTTTGGTGAAAGCCTTTCCCCAGCTCGGCAGGAGTGTCCCAGTTCAGCAATGGCCTCAGCAACTGAATTTTCATCCCGGAGGAGATGGGAATGGGATTAGTTGCTAAGTTCTGGAGGAGTTAGCACCATCCTAACTAGCCTAAAAGCCATTAGATGAAAAATTAATTCTATGGGTAGATTTATTTGGAGGTTAGTTCAGTCAATACCCTCTCAAACCCTAATATAAATATAATTTTTTTTATATTGACTGCATCTCCTCTCTCCCACATCTCAAAGACTCTCCCATTCCTCTCTGCCTCTCTGTGCGTCGCAACCAGCAATGCGCTGCCCTCGCCTGCTTCGCTATCAACTCCGTCGGCCTCACCACCATCAATCGCAGACGAGATGGTGTTACACGGCGGGAGTTGGAGACCATCCTGAGTTTGTGTATGTATCTCCTCGATCTCAAGCCTCCGATGAAGCGTCGTAGGTCGATGTAGGCGGTACCACTGTAGAGGCGGCAACGAATCAAGTCCGAGTATGGATCTGAATCCTGACGTCGGCTCTTGAGTTCTAGATCCAAAGTCCTCCTTTAGCGGAAGTGGATGGGGGGAAGCGGCGGTGTTGTTTGGATTTCAGATCCAAGATCTCGAGTTCCAGATCCAAGCCAGGGTAGGATGTATGGTAGTGGCGGAGATCAGTACGGTGAAGGATGTGGTGGTTGGAGTCTTTTGGGTGCCCAGTGAGAAGGATTTTTTTTTTAATTGTAGTTAGTAGTGATTTTTGTTAGCAGTGATTGTGTAATAGTGGTTTTATATATAACTAGTTTTCTTACTAGCGCTCCGCGTTGAGACGGGAACAAAAATTTAAATTTATGTTGTGTCAACTTTCATTAGCATAGAGGAGAGTTATCCGATGTCTCCGAAGTGCCACCGTAGTCCATAAAGAAGAATTATAGAATCATAACAAGACAATTATGAAAGATGCTAACCATTAACCATAAATATGTCATCGTACAGGTCATAACAAATAAATACACCTAATTACATTGTTAAGGAAATTTTACACGACCACATAAATACACCTAAATATGGCATCGTACAGGTCACAATCCTGATGATTAAAACCCTATAAAGAAGCAACATGATATAACTTAATATATAGATATACTGTAGTCGGCAGGATGCATCAAAGTTTAAGATCTCTAGCTTTGGATCTTACCCACAGAGTATGAATCACCCGAAACCAAAACCCGAAATCAAAGTTTAAGATATACTTAATTAGAGATAGATAGATAGAGAGAGAGAGAGAGCAGGCACCTTAAATCAAAAAGTGAATTTGTGGATCTCGACTTGAACGTCTCCGTTGCCGCCGAACCGAGGTGAAGAGCTACCGCCACAAATTTGATCAGTTGACTTTGTCGGATAAGGCCAAGTCCAATGCAAAACCCTAAATTTGGGGGCCTTGAACTCCAAATTTGGGGATTGAACCTCATTTTCCCTTCTTTTGCTCCAATGCAACAAACTCCATATTTGGGGTTCTTAATATTTCCAGTTTTTCCATTTATTTAAAAATGTACTTATCGAAACTTTAATATAATTTATTCATGTTAATTTTTGTATAGTTCGTCATCATTTTTAAATACAAATTTTTCGATAGAATTTTGTTAAATTTCGAGACCGAATTTTTTTTAGTGAAAAATTATGGACCTAAAAAACCTAAATACAAACATTAATTCCCTTTTCCCTAATTAATTACATTCCATTCCCTTAATCAATTTCCTTAAATAACTAATAAATAATTAACAAAAAAAAGCTCCTGCGTTGGAGCTCCAAAAATTGCATTAATTACATTAATTAATCCAATAAACAATTTCCTTTCTTCCCTTAATTAATCACATTAATTAGCAAGCAATTAATTACACCTTTCCTACCATTAATCACATTAATTGCGCGCGTGCCAACAATTCTTCCATTCCCCATAAATGCCGACCTCGGCATTCCCTCCCCCATATTTAGCGACCCAGATGCCGATGCCCTCCATAAATGCCGATTTTCGCCATTTTTCGTCTCTGCGTTGGAGCTCCAAAATCGCCATTAATGGCGAGAACTCCATAAATGCAGGCTGCATTGGAGTCAGCCTAAGAACACATAGTTGTACATCTTTTCCCCACCGAGCCTCAGAGATTATGAGCGCGTCTAGAAAGAATTGATGTTCGTGGAGATTGGAGAGAGAGAAGATGGACAAATCGAACATTATGATTGGCAACAAGGGGGTGCAAATTTGAGAAGGGTGCAAATTGAGTTGCAAATTGTAGAGGTGAGTAGATTTCAGAAGGATGCAAATTGGGGTGCAAATTGTTGTTTGAGAGAAAAAGTATGGGTGTATAAAGTGGGTGTAAATAAAGCAAAAATATTTAAAACAAAAAACAAAAAATAAAAACTAATCAACCACATTTTCTTACTACTTGGCCCCACCTAACACTAATAAAAACTTAGACCCGGGCCCACCACTCACTTCCTTTTTTCTCTCCTTCCCCTTGCACCCCAAATTGGGGGTAAGGCTAAATAGTAAAAAATGCTCCCCTTTTGCTTCACCTTTCTCCTGTTGCAACCTATCCAAACATGTGCATTTGAATTGAAATTTGAATTTGCACCTTGTTTTTGCTCTCCCTCCCTTTTGCACCCCACCCAAACATAGTGGAAAGGAAGAAAGGGGCAAAATGCTAACAGACATAAATGAATTAGCTCTTTTATGGTATCTCTCACCTCCAACTAAAAGAAGCTCTTCTGCCAAGTCCCAACCTGGCAGTCTCTCTCACCTTAGATGTGATGATGAAAAGCAATCAATGATAGCGCCCTTCAGGCCACTTGTGCGGTAAGGTAAAATTAGCATTTTTCAATAAACAAAACAAAATGAAAAATCAGTCACCACCTCAGTAGAGCAATAACTGCCGCCAATTAAAAATCTCTGACGACCTGCAAGAAACTGCATCTGCCAGTATCTCACTGCGTCAAATATAGCCTCAATAACTCCACCAAAAGAAAAAATCACCTCAGCTTTTTCATGAGTGACGTGCACAGTGTCAGAAACCAGAATCCCAAATGGAATAAAGCAGTTTTTGGTTGCAGAATTCTAGGGTCAAGTCGCTGCCAAGCGATCAACATGGGTGAGAAGTACAGAGAGGTCCAAACACAACCAATATGAATAATTCCGCCCGAAATCAAATAGCCCACACCTACACCCGCCCACACCCAAGCCCCTTCCAAGTTGAAACCGTGTCAATGAGTCATGATGGACAATAAAAGTAGTCTTGATGCACAGTAATCGACCCCTTAGTGGGTTTTCTTTTTTCAATAGTGGTGATTTTTATTGTGGTGAGCAATTATATTTGTTAATTGTTAATAGTATTTTGTATAATTATAGTAATATTTGTTTATGTGTAGTATTTTCTTTACTTTTTATAGTGTTTTTTCTAAAACTCATCAATTACTACTAATAAAAGATGCTACCAATGACAATAAAATTGCTATCAGCAATCATAAAATTAATATAATATTTTTGCTAAATACTACTAATTTTAGTAGTTGTAGTTTTTTAGTAATATTCTTCACCGAAAAAAAAATTATGGGAGGAAAGAGATTTACAAAATTAATTAATTTATTATAATTAATTTTCTAAATACTAACAAAGTCTCTCATTGTTCTCCACTGTCAAATTTAACTTAAAAGTAATGAATGATGATAAAGATAGTTAGTATGGTGCTAACTTCTATAGAGTTAGCACTCTAACTCCTCCCGTCCACGCTTCGTGGACCAGTCAAGTCGAAGGATGGCATAGCTCGAAGAATTGATTGGGCTTCTTGTGCTCGAAATGCATGGTTAGGCTGCAGTAACCCAGAACCAATTTCGGCTCCTCCAGGCCCATGAGCCCGATTGCACTGTCCAACACCACCCAGAATATGGGCCCGGCTAAGCCATAGTTTTGGCGGGAATCGGTCCTTCATTTTCCCGCCAGGGGACGACGGGGCAGACTAAAGAAACAAAGCCAAGCTGTTGGTTCGCTTCCTGCATTTCGCTTCGCTTGCCGCCTTTGAGGAACAGCTAGCGCATTCGCACTTCAACTGACGAGCCAAGTGCGGTTTCCAGCACACCGGAGACACGAAAATGGACGCCTTCGGCGGCTACTTCATGGACGAGAAGGCAGTGCAAGTGGAGAACATTTTCCTGGAGTTCCTCAAGAGGTTCGGTCAAACGAATTTTTCTCTATCATTTTTAGATCTGTGTTATTTTACGCTTTTGGATGGTGAATTTTGACGGTGGGGAAGTTTAATTTCGTCTGAGTTCAGCTTCAGAGGGGACAATAACAACAACAATGGGGGCGAGCCATTCTACGAGGCTGAGATCGAGGCAATGAGGGCCAACGAATCGACGACGATGTTCATCGATTTCTCCCACGTCATGCGCTACAACGACTTGCTGCAGAAGGCCATAGCTGACGAGTACTTGAGGTAAAGTAATAACAGCACCCTTGGCGTTTCATTTCTGCAGGGAATTTTTTGAAGGAAGAAACCCTAATCGGGCTTCTCTATTTCATTTTCCCCTAAATATGTCCTTTCTGTTCAAAATATTGAATTAGGTTTGAGCCGTACTTGAAGAATGCTTGCAAGAGATTCGTGACTAAACTAAAGCCCTCGTTCATTGCGGACGACAACCCTAACAAGGATATCAATGTTGCCTTCTTCAACATTCCTTTCTCCAAGCGGTATGCTTTGTGTTCAATTTTTCTGTAATTTGTTTTGTAAAATATCTCAAGGAGATTTCTTAGCTAACTTTCAACTGCATACTGTGTTTGATTCTCTAGACTAAGGGAGCTGACCACTGCTGAAATTGGTAAGCTGGTATCAGTGACTGGAGTGGTAACTCGTACTAGTGAGGTGAGGCCAGAACTTCTCCAGGGGACTTTCAAGTGCTTGGAGTGTGGTTCAGTCATAAAAAATGTTGACCAGCAGTTCAAATACACCGAGGTGAGTGTGTAGGCATTACAGATCAATTTAGTTTTCATCAGTCTTCTTTGTTGTTAACCTCACTAATCTAAACCTATTGCAATTCTGAATCTTGGTTGCAGCCAATCATTTGCGTGAATGCAACTTGCAGTAATAGAATGAGATGGGCATTGCTTAGAACGGAGAGCAAATTCGCTGATTGGCAGAGGGTAAGAGTGCAAGAAACTTCCAATGAGATTCCGGCTGGCTCACTTCCCAGGTCTCTGGATGTTGTCCTTCGCCATGATATTGTTGAACAGGCTAGGGCTGGTGATACGTAAGTCGGCATCTCATTCTTCCATATTCCAATTCTTACCTTTCAGCCAACTGTTACATGTTCGATTGTTAGGTCAGCTTGGATTTTAATATAGGTTCACTTTCCTGGAGCTACCAGGGTAGTTTTCACAGGCACTGTGGTGGTAATACCAGATATTATGGCCTTGGCTTCACCTGGGGAAAGAGCTGAAACCCGCCGCGAAGCTCCTCAACGCAAGAATTCTGGTGTTGGAAATGAAGGTGTGAAGGGTTTGCGAGCATTAGGAGTTAGAGACTTATCGTACCGTCTAGCCTTTATCGCCAATTCGGTTCAGGTTGCCATTACCTCCTGCTTGTTGTCAGACCTGATTATAACTAATATAGTGAGGTTGGACGTCTGACTTCCAATTTTTTTTTTTTTTTTGCTGCTATGTTAAGGTTTCTGATGGCAGAAGGGATGTTGACATCAGGAATCGAAAGAAAGATGCTGACGAAGAGGATTACCAGCAGTTCACTGTCAGTACACGATCTCTCTTCCTAACTTCCTTTTTTATCTTGTTTCTATCTTGTTAGCAACATTATCTCTGCTTTGTACATTTCGCTGATTATTTCTAACTAAGTATTGTTGCTTATTAGTTCCATGAACTAACATGATATTAGTTGTTAGGTGCCGTCATATTTTTAACCTCCTTTTTAGAACTTCTTTTATCTAGTTCCTTCGCTGGTACTTCAGTTGTTACAAATAGCTTCAACTTAGCCTACATTATCATTTTGCAGTCAGAAGAGATGGATGAAATCCAAAGAATGCGGAACGTGCCTGATTTTTTCAATAAGCTAGTCGATAGTGTTGCTCCAACTGTTTTTGGTCATCAAGATATCAAGAGAGCAATTCTGATTATGCTTTTGGGTGGTGTTCACAAGCTTACCCATGAGGGTATCAACCTTAGAGGGGATATTAATGTCTGTATCGTTGGAGATCCCAGCTGTGCAAAGTCTCAGTTCCTCAAGTAAGCTCCTTGTCTGCTTACAAGAAAAACATATGCAATCTTACTTTCTAAAATCCTGATCAATGGTCTATCTACTCCCAGGTATACAGCAGGTATAGTTCCGAGATCTGTTTATACATCTGGAAAGTCATCATCTGCTGCTGGGCTGACAGCAACTGTTGCTAAAGAACCAGAGACCGGCGAATTTTGTATTGAGGTATCCAGTTACTTAATATGGTTTATTCTAAATATCTCAGCAGTTATCACTTTATGCTTGGACCTATGTTTTCATGTCTGCAACGTGATATAACCAAAAATTTACTTGAATAGAACACTACTGATTGGTGATTGATGCATGCTTCCTTGGTTCCCCTTCCTAAAGCGCCTTTCTGTGTCCTATATTTTTCTCAGGCTGGAGCTCTGATGCTTGCTGATAATGGAATATGTTGCATTGACGAATTTGACAAAATGGACGTTAGAGATCAGGTAACTTTTATTGTACCAATGGCTGTATTATATTCAATGGCAACTGTCTCATATTCTGAAATACCGATGTGAAGGTTGCAATTCATGAAGCAATGGAACAACAGACAATAAGCATCACTAAAGCAGGGATACAGGCAACACTTAATGCCAGAACGTCAATTTTAGCTGCAGCCAATCCCACTGGGGGCCGATATGACAAGTCCAAACCACTAAAGGTACGATATTTTTTTCTTCCTCTCCTCTCTTTGCGTTCAATATATCTCTGTGTAAGAAAACACGATTTTGATCCTCCTGTCATGAAACCTTAGTTTACAAGGACAATCACTTGGCTAGTTATGTTTGTCTGTAGCTACTTACATACAGTTCTGGTGTGCATTTTTCAGTACAATGTCGCCCTCCCGCCTCCAATTCTGTCAAGATTCGATCTTGTTTATGTAATGATTGATGACCCGGATGATCAAACTGACTATCATATTGCTCACCACATTGTGAGAGTTCATCAAAAGCGTGAAGAAGCCCTTGCCCCTACATTCACTACTGCACAGTTAAAGCGTTACATTGCTTATGCAAAAACATTGAGACCAAAGGTGAAACTTCTGCTTCCTAGATCAATATGAGTTCCCTAAGTAAGCTACTTGGCATTCCAGGTTTTAACAAAAACAAATTGTACGATCAGTTGAATGCAGAGGCGAGAGCTCTCTTGGTGGAATCTTATGTTGCTCTCCGGAGAGGTGACACTACTCCTGGGAGTAGAGTTGCTTATCGCATGACCGTTAGGCAGCTGGAAGCATTGATCAGACTGTCCGAGGCCATAGCTCGAAGTCATTTGGACACACAGGTCTCTTCTTATATGCAGAAAGTTAATTACTGGTATCCAGGATTCTTCTCAATTGTCAGCTTTGACTTACGTTGTTGGCCTTATTTTTCAGGTGCAACCACGCCATGTTCGTGTAGCAGTCAGATTGCTGAAAACCTCGATTATCAGGTAAGAAAATTATAGGAATATCCCTGACATTCGACTTCTTTAGCACAGTATCAACAGCGTGTCACATGTATGCCTGCTTACCACTGGTTTAAGCTTATTTGTTTATCTTCGCAGCGTGGAGTCAAGTGAGATAGATCTATCTGAGTTTCAAGAAGCGAGTAATGAATATGGTGATGAAGACGGGAACCGTGAAGCTGGAGCAGATGATGCTCAACCTAGCAATGTTGAAAATGCAGGTACTGTTATCGTTTCTGTTTCAGAGAAAGAACAAAAACTGGCTTTCTGTTCCACCTTTTGTAAATTGAACTTGTGGCGTTCTGCAGAAAATGGAGCAGCAGGGTCAGCTGCCCAACAAGGAAAGAAACTTGTACTTACTGAAGAGTACTTCCAGAGGGTCACACAAGCACTTGTAATGCGCCTTAGACAGCATGAGGATGCTGCACAGCGAGATGGTAAAACTACAAATACCTCTGCGTTGTGGTTGCCTGTACATCGTTTGGCTAATCTTTCCTAGAGTTCCCACCTTGGAACTCTCACACCGTAGTCACACATCTCTCACCATTTTTCTCCCGGGGGATTTCCAGGGACGGGACTGGCTGGAATGAAGCAAGGGGACTTGATCAGATGGTACGTGGAACAGCAGAATGAGAAGAACACCTACAGTTCGGTAGAGGAAGCTAAGGAAGAAGCATTTAAAGTGAAAGCCATCATAGAGGTAAAAGAACTCAATTTTTTTAGAATCATGCCAAACATAGTAGTCTCATCATTAGCGGTTGAACATGCATTGAGGGGTTCCAGAGCTTATGATTGTAACTGTATTCGTGTGTGGCAGAGTCTGATCAGGAGAGAAGGCTACTTGATCGTGATAGATGATGGGGCACAAGCAGATGCTGGAGAAGGGGACGGTGGAAGACAGTCATCGTCTAGGAACAACAGGATCTTGGCCGTGGCTCCTAACTACGTTGTGGAATGAAGCAGAAGCAGGATATCGAAACACAATGAACAGCCATTTCCTTCACTCTATTTCCGGTGCAAAATGTAGGTGTTGCCAGTTTGGCAGACAACCCCGCCCTCTACTGGAGCCTTTAATTTGAAATGTCGCCTGCCAGCTCTAAGCTTCTTCTTTTCATTTACCCCTATGGTCGATGTGGTCCGCGAGAGGACGGCAAATTCATGTATAATTTGTCATTTGTCATTTGTAGTAGTGTTAAGAAACAAAATTGAATGGCACCAAGTGGGATGACTTAACTGATTCTTGGTTAGGGTGTGGCACAGGAAGCATGGTTTCATCTTTAATTTACCATGGATCTCAAAAATTTGCCTTTCATAAATGAAATGTGGAATTTGTAAATTTGTGGAATGTGTAAATTTGAACCTTCTCAAAATATCATATTTGTGTGAAGTCTGTAAATTCTTGAAATTTAGGTGCCAAATTCCAGGGTAAAATACCTCGGGTGCCACTTAAGTTTCAGAATTGGAGTAGGCATACCATTTAAGTTTGATAAGGGCATCGGGTACTACTAAACTCTATTATATGTGCACCAGGTACCACTTAAGTTTACTATTAAGTGCATTCCGTGAAAGTTGGCAGAACATTCTTGGAATGTTTTGTTTTTTAAATTTCATAATTGGTCCTTCTACTTCTCTTATTGTAAAAAAATAATTTGGACTTATGAAAAATATCATTTTTTATTGTTTAGTTAGAATCTTCTTTTGAATACTTGATACCAAAACAATTTTTGAATAAAATTTTTAGAATCAATTATCATTATGTGTTCTAATAAGTGAATTATTACATGAATGTTGTAACTAAACAATGTTGTAGCTTATATAGTCATATTTCCTTTTTTACATTTTTACTGGATGTTGTAGCTTTTATATTTTGTATATTACTTGGTTACTTTTCATCTCTTTTCGTTCTAAATTTTTTCAATTAGTGAAATATGGTTAATTTTTTCTTATTGTGTTCCATTTATCTTTTTTGATTTTGATGTATTGATGATTGATTAGGTTCTATTTTAACTATTTTGTTTTGGTGAAACTATTTTAACTATTTCTAATGGTGCTTCTAATTGAATTAGGGGGTTTAAATATATATTCTAATATTTATTATTATATTCTAGCATATTTATTATTCTTCTTGATATTTGTTTACTATTTTTCCTAATCTATCTATTTTATTGATTTTTTTTGTTGAATTTTATTGAATTTTTTTTATTAGTCATTCTAGTAATAATCTGTTTATAAGATTTTTTAATTATTATATTAGATAAAATTTGTTAAAATATAGTTTTGGATGTTTTTTAAAGTTTTGGGTATCAAAAAGTAATTAAAAATTTGGGTTGGATGAAAAAGTAGACGGATGTACATTTTGGCAATTTTAATGGTACCCGACGCCCTAATCAAACTTAAGTGGTATGTCTACCCCAGTTCTCAAATTTGAGTGGTATGTCTACCCCAATTTTCAAAATTAAGTGGTACCCGATGTATTTTACCCCAAATTCCACAAACAAACTACACCTTAATTTGTATACACCACATATTTTCTAGACCAGTTTGTCCAGGGATTTAGATTTACACTCTTTTTTTTCCCCTATGGCAAGAGCAGAGTGATGAACCAGTTTTCATATGTCAAACCTGTTTATACAAGAAAAGGAATGAATATGTATCTGGCCATGTACTCAACCGAAATTCAAAACTACTCATCTTCTTCACATAATCAGCTCAAAAAGATGGAAAGGGAAGAAGTTGGAGGGTGGGAGAGGAAGACTGAGGAAATAGGATAAGGTCGTCGAGTATAATAAGGATTAGGGTCAAAAGACGAAAGCACTGCAGAGCCATGGAATTAGTTGAGCTAGAGAAGACCTATCCAAATCCAACTCTAACTTATTGATAATACCTATCAGATGAAGCAATTTTAGAGTGAAAGAAAGGTGGAGAAGAAGTCATATTTGTGAGAAGAAGCTGTGCACTCAAACTCCAACGTGCGTCAGAAACAGAGATTTATCATATTTATCAAACCTATCACTTGCTTGAACCAATTGAATGATCTAGTTCGGTCTTGTTGAACCGTTTTCTTAATGAATTACTTGATGAACCCCTTTCTGATTGACAAATCCATTATTCGATTATATTTTTTTTTCAAACAAGAAAAGGAGGAAAGTCGATAATGATAACATTTCCATTTCCACAGTTAAAACTCATAAAGATAAAAAAGGACATCACTCCCAAATACCTTGTCAAAATGACAAAAGGATAATTAACAACGAGAAAAGGGAAACTTTAAGCAAGTTTAGAATTGAGTGTTAAGAAGACTCGTAGAGTCGGAATTGAGAACATCCTCCTTCAAAAAGTATTCCGAAATAGCAGATTTCATTGCTCGGAAATATGATAGAGATCAAGTATATATTTTTTATTCATTGTTGGTACACATTGTTTACACCAAAATAAAATATTTTGATGTCAACATACATTCTCTTGAAAAAAAGTGAAGTTTAAAATTCCACAAGTCCACTATGTATATTGTGTTTAGATCAATTGTTAATATTGAGGGCAGTTTTAATACAAGATGTGTCGGTAAGAGGGTATAACAAGCTTATCCTTATAGCTCATCTTAACTTGCTCATCAATCCATAAAAAAATATGTACAAACAAGAATACATTGATGATCAGTAACCATATTACCTATCATAATAAATTGTAATTTTAAGATTCACACCGAACTCTGATACAACTATCAGGTCGCGTCAAGGCAACACAATAGTAACCGTTGCATACGAACTCTTCAGCGGTCAACGTGAAGATGAAATAAAATTATACACATGAAACTTTTGCTACCTAGATTGCTTATCTCAATCATATTTGGATCAAGAAGACCAAATTAGAGCTTGAAAAGCTCAGATCCAATAATGTAAAGCATGTATGATCATAAGATATCACGTATTAATACACTCACATATGGCCTAATATAATCCCTTAATTGTTGTTTTTCTTTTGGGTTGTAGCAGGGGCATAGATGGTTTTTCTCATCGCTATTGTTTTGTTCTCATTTTTGTATTTGCTGAAATCTCAATCATTAAGCATTGAGAAATCAAGAAGCATCTTCCACCATGTATTAATTAAGAATCAAAACATAATAATGGGTACAGTCTCTAAAAAAATTAGCCATACACCCCTGGCCACCACCAATGAAACAAAGGGGAATTGTCTTATGTTTGTTTTAAAATGAATCATTGTCAGCCTTGTGTTGGTTGGAAGCACAAACAAGGAACGACCTAATCAAGCACACCATGTGCATTTCATGGCTGGACCTTGCTGTCTCTCTTGCCCTAGCTAGCTAGCTACACACCATATAACTCAACTAACGTACACACACACCAACAAATTTCCATTTCCTTTCCCAACAATTTTTATTTATAATCCAACAATTTCTTCGTGGTTCGATATGCCTTCTGAAAGCACGAGCCTTGACGAGTTTATTACTTAATAAAAATAAGACGATAAGAAAATTAATTGATTGAAGTTACATATGAAAATTTTATGATCAACTATCATCTTGATCATCCAATCTGTAACGGTGGATCTGATTACTCAACTCAACCACTATGTATATTGATGATTCCTTACAATATTATTAACATTTAACTTTGGAGATTATATGCTTTCCACTTGGTGAGGAGAAAAGAAAGAAAGAAAGAAAGAAATAGATTTGAGGGAATATAAATGGGTTGTATGAATCTTTACTTGGAAGGTGATGTATGAGATTAGCTTAGGGTTGGGTTAGGTTAGGTTGGTTGCTTGATTGGGCCAGCAATTGATGATCAAATCAATAAAATCAGGTACAGTACATTTACATATAACGATAACTAATAAGCCCTCCAATCAGGCATTCCACTCCACGACGGCCGTGATTGAGGTTACAGCGAAGCCACGTGAGATCGATAGGTTTGTGATTCATAATTTGATATTAAAAATCCAAAAGGAGAAACTAAAAAAAAAAAAGAATTAAAGAAAGATTCATTTTCGTTCTTGGGTTGGCGACAGGCGTATATTGCCCAGCAAGATCACTATCAATTGGCCATTGACGGAGCTGGCTGGCTGGCTGGCTGGCTGGCCGCCAATTCATGCCACCCCTTAATCCTTGTTTGTTTGCAAGTTCAATCAAAACTCTCCCCAATTCAATCCTCCATCTTATAATTTGTGCTCAATCAACCCCCTTGCTCAGTATGTAATTTTTGTTATGACAAGTGATATTGGCACATACGTATACTAGATTATCACGCTCCACGAATACTTAAAAGAATCCAAAAAGTTGGGGGGTTTTCACGCTCATATTCTTGCTAGTAGTCACCAATAATTTCTTCCCAGGATGCGGAAGAATTTATTGGGTCTACTCATTTTTATTTATGGAAGTGGATTGGTTAGAGGTTAATAAAAGTGCTATTTTGATATTTAAACTCTGACCCATCAAGAATAGTTCAAGTGGTAAGGCACAAATACAGTATTCTACGTTCGAATTGCACTTCATGAATTTGCCAAGTATTCACGAAGATACAGGTAGAGCCAACGTATCCACAAAATAACTTATCATAAAAAAACAAAATTATTTCAACCTTAGTTGGACTTGATTGGTGTGATTCAATGAGCTAATGTATGTATTATCTGCATATAAAATAAAAAAATTGTGGAGGAGAGTCATATTATTTTTAATGATTAGATATGTAGGAGACACTTGGGGTGTAACGGTTGCGTAATAGAGCTAGCTAGAGCTGGACATTCCAACCCTCCGTCCGAATATATATATATAAATTTGAGAAGGTGGCAGGCAGAAGAGAAGAGTGTTCATTTCATTTGTTCCTTCCTTCCATTATTCATATATATCTCTTCTCTTCTCTTCCAGTTCCAGCCAACAAGGTAGGGAAAAAGACAGGGCAGGGCAGACTTATTACACTGTGGGGTTGGTTTTGTCTCTCTGGAGTAAGTGAGATAGATACATACATATATTGGTTTTCCTGATAGAGATATCCATCCCCTTAATTAATTCCCACCCAATTTTCGATATTTGGGAGAGAGCTTATCCTTCCTTCTCCAACCTCAGGTAATTATTAGTTCATGTTCTGTCTGTCAATCATATACTTCCTCGGATCTACCTCTCTTCTGTCTCCGATCTAATCTAATTTGGTGGCTGTTTCTGTTTTAGTGACGATCGAGAGGAAAAAGTATGGGTTACTGGAAATCAAAGGTTTTGCCCAAGATCAAGAAGGTGTTCGAGAAGGACAGCGCCAAGAAGGCCGCCGCCGCTGAAGCTACCAAAGTTTTCGATGCCTCCAAGGTAATCAATTAGCTAGTGCATGTTTTATAATTAATCCTTCTTCTTGATTATTACTTTACTTTGTCCGGCCGCCTGTCTTTTGTTAATTTCATGGTCTCTGTCGTTTTGGGATTTGGGTTAATTAATACAGGAGGACATAAGCAAGGAGTTCGAGGAGAAGAAGGTTGAACTCCAGCCTAAGGTCCTGGAAGTCTATGAAGCATCCTCCGCCGAAATCAAGGTAATTATTTATTTAATTAATCAACACATCCATGTCATCAAAGAAAAGGGTCGATCGGTTATTCGTGATTCTTTTCCACTTCCCTTTTACCTTAATTGATTACTTTTTGCTTTATATTGGGATATAATAATAATTAACCTAACCTTGTATTTAACCACGGGCAGACGGTGGTTAAGGAAGGAACGGAGGCGGGACTGAAGAAGCACTCCGCCGCCGTGGTCAAATTCGTCGAAGAGCTTGTTAAAATCGGTAAATAATATTATTAACTATTTCTGTTTGTAGCAAAACAAAATATATTTTGATTCTTCCCCCCCCCCCCCCCTTCCTTAGATTTCTTACAGTTTTCGGCCTAACTAGTATATGTATATATGACACAGTACTTATATATTTTATACGTAACTTACCTCTACCTATTTTACTAACTATGATTGCTGTAATATGGGCCTGCAGAATTCCCTGGATCAAAGGTGGTGTCGGAGGCATGCTCCAAATACGGCCCAGCCTACGTCCCCGGCCCGGTCCTCTTCGTTTTCGAGAAGGTTTCCACTTTTATCCCCGTCGAAGAAAAGCCGGCCGAGCCGGAGGCGGAAGCTCCAGCTCCGGCAGTGGAGGGGGAAACTGCAGCCACCACCACCAGCACAGAGAAGGAGATCGTCGTTGAGGAAGCCGCCGCCCCAGCTGCAGCGGAGGCCGAGAAGCCTGCCGAGACACCGGCGGCTGAACCCCCCGCAGCAACTGAGGCGCCGGCCGCCGCCAAGGTGGAGGAAGCAGCGCCAGCTGCTGCTGCCGCACCGGAGGCACCGAAGCCTTGATCATATGAGCGAAAAACAAGATATGCAAAGTAATTAATTACTATTCTTGCGTTTTGTTTTCTAAACACGAAGTTAATTACGTGGTTTATTTGTGAAAAAAAAGAAAATAATTATCATGTATCCTGAAGAAAAAAAGAGGGGGACTATTTGTTATTCTTTATTAATACTGTGTATCCTTCTTTCCTCGATCTCTCTTGTATTTTTCTGGTTTCTGTGTATTATTGTGGTTTTTCTTCCTGTAAAGTTATCTGTGAGTGTTTTTTTTTGTTACTGTTTAGACAGACACATTTATCCATATTATTGGTGTATATTAATTAAATGAAATTATGTTTGTGGATGTATGTTGCAATATTATATTCCACGTCCTTATCGTAATAAATAGTTTGTGTATGTATGTATACATGTATGGATTATTATGGACGTACGTAGCTGTGGGCAGAAGAGAGGAGGACACAACAATTATTGATATGTCTAGTTGAGAAGGAGGTGGCGTGTGCGTTACTACTTGACATGACATGACATGTTATTTTTTTGGGTTTATCTGTCTATAGATAGCTCCTTTGCCATGTGTATTTGGTCTCTATTGTTGGCTAAGACGTAGGGACCCAAATGGAACGGTCCTAAATTGACAACTAAGGAAAGGAACGTTGAAAAGGGGAAACATAACATAATGGTTGCTTGATAAGGGAAGGGCAAGTTGATGGTTGGAGAAGGAATCTATCTATTCTATAATTCATCTGTTCCTTCCTAGCCAAATCAATAGGTGAAATGAATTGGTGAAAGCTAAGGTATTAGAATGAAGAACGGATCGAGTTGAACTTGTTAGCTACCTAGGTGGATTCTCAAGACGAGACTAGAGCGATCTTGTTTTTTTGAAGTTCGATTTGGTCGATTTTTGAGAGGTGGGAGGCTGATGTCTCACACTTAGTTTGATGTTTCGTACGGCAACTAGTTTTACTATGTTGTTGGTTGTTTGACTATAGTTGATAGGTCTAACTGGAACATTTGATTGTGGCATAGCAGAAGGCTTGGGGTGTTGGACACAATGATTAGAAGAGAGAGATTGTCGATTTTAGATTGTAACCATAATCTTGTTTCAAAAAACCTGCGAACAATAAGTTTTTTGTCTCTCCATTTTCATTATAGTCCAGTTGATCTTTTGTTATTATTGTAATTAGAATTAGTATAATGCTCAAATAATTTTCAAATCTTTATTGATTTTGATAAAGGTTTGTAATGCATTGCATTCATTTATAATTTTTTTTCTTTACCAAGAAATGGGGGGGGGGGGGGGGGGGGGGGGGGGGGGCTATCCTCATGTATAATATGATGTATTGTTGTCGGCTTGCTAGAAAGTTCATGCATATTGTAGAGATAGACAAGACTGTGCTTCGAGAGTCAGTCCACGACTCTATTCCCTTCCCGGTATTTATGTACTATTCAGACAAGAAGGTCGTGCTTTGTAGCGGCCATGTCATTAATTACTTATAATAGGCCAAAAATTGAATAAACAAAAATATTAAATCAACTACTTTATCCCTTTAACACATAATAATTTTCTCTATTTTTTGTTTATTTTTTCTGTCTCTCTATAATATAGTCTCAAGCTATCAAACCGGTTTTTACCATTGTTCCGATTTAGTAAATAGAATAGTTCGATCAATGGTACAATTGATTTATGCCGATTTAACAAAATATTTGGAAATGTAAAAACCCATTAATATCAAATGAATTTAATTGTATGTAAAACAAATTTAAAGATAGTTACTTATAAATTATATTCATATTTAAATAAAATATGACATTCCAAATAAAATAACACTAACCAGTCAACCCACCATACAGTATAATACTGAAACTAATATAATTTGGGAGAGATTGATGTTAAATATCATATTTACATACGATATTTAACATGAATATCTAAACATTTATACTTGAATCCAACAAATAACATCAACATTAAATTTTAAATTAAGAAATAAATAATGAATTTTTATCAATTAAATTCACTAAAACAACAATGAATTTTTTATTAATTAAATTCATTAAAACAACTTCTTTTTTATAGAAATCATAAATAAATTATACCGGTCATACCAATGCTCTCTTTTTATTAATTAAATTCATTGAAAATAATCTTAAACCTCGCAATCCTACATAAAGGGTTCAATACTCTCTTTTTAGGAACAATATGTCACTAATAAAAAAAAATAGAGAGTTGTTGATTCAAGTCAACTATATACTAACAACTCGGTTAGGAGGGGACCCTCAAAATTTGAGAGCAAATGCCAAAATTAGGGTCACCTCCAATATACTAATAGACTCGATCAAAGTAATTAGGAACTAAATTAGACATTCCTTATCTATCAGTTCTAGTAGGTTGAATAAAGAATCGATCAACCTACTTCAGTAAATCAATCAATGCTTCCTCGTTTTAAGATAGAAATAGGTTGTGATAGCTGCAAAAACCGTAAACATAAAGATCTAATAGTCACCACTCTCCATTGTACAATCAAATTTTATCTACTCTATCTTCAATATCAAGAGGCATTTGTTACAACCAAAAATTTAATTTCTAATCTTTCTTCGGCAACTCCATTTATTGAACTCCATTCTATTCGCCATGGATTGATATCAAGTTGAAATCTTCTGCATTCCTAGCTTAAATCCCCAACAAGAAAATCGTAGTGCCAAGAGATACAGAAAGATTGATTTTCAAAGGCGGCCTTGTATTGTGAAGTGAAAGGGGTGCAAACTATTGCATGATGGAAGGAATTTGGGAGGAAGTTAGAAAGAGATAAGAACAAAGATAAAAAAAAAGTACTAAATTTAAATATAAATTTAGAAATGAAAGAACACAACACGTAGGAGTATCATTAGTTTCTTATCTGTTAGCCAATTCCCAAGTTACCTTTAGCGAAACTTAAGGAGATTGCACTAATTTAAAAATTGAGAAAACTACATAAAACTGTGCTATGAAAAGTACAGTATCAACCATCATAAAAATACATACGGTAGACCTAGTAGCTAACTAGCTGCCATGGAGATTTGTTCTTTTCTTTGGGCTGATTCATCAATTATCATTTGGGCCCATAACCTATAACACAAAGCCCAAAACTTCTCGTGGCAAACAATTGTAATGTGAATAGTGTAAAATCCGGTCAACGGCTAAACCCAATTAGTTTAATTGTTTTTATCCTTTAATCTCAATTCTCTTCATCCTAAATTTTATTCTTTCATTTATTGTTCGAGTATTACGAAGTAGTTCGTAAAGGAATCCTCCTCCAAATCCTCCATTATTAGAGGTATTTTGTGAGATTTTCTCCATTTTGAATTATCTGTGTCCTGCAAGATTTGAACCTTGGTTGTTTTAAACAGAGACAAGGGTTGTAACCAATCGTACTACATTAATTTGTTGTATCCCTTTAAATTAAAAACACACATAAAGCTAAAATCAGAAAATCACAGAACTTTTCAAAGGTTAGCTAGCCAAGTAAAACTCCGATAAGTACTTATTGATATTCGATACTTCAATTTTTATATTGTGATTATTTTAATAAACTTTTTTTTTGTAAAGGTGAAATTTATTAATTAAATAAGGAGTTAAGAGTTAAACAAGTTACACAACGAAGGCAGACTCACGCACCAGAGACAACAAGATAAACAACCCCTATCCCAAACGAAGACACAAACAGAAACAAACCAACAAAGAACAACAGGGCCAAATAAGGATAACTTTAAAATCACAACTCAAATATTAATGGTTCGAATATTGCATATCAAAATCCAGTATTGAATATGCATAATTCTTATTAATTTTTAGAACTATTATGAAGCAATCATATTCATATCTTTGTGCGATCTCAATGACACTGGTCCTTTAAACATTTTAGCCTGGTAACTGCTAAGTTTTAAACCCCTTTCTAATCCGGCATGATTGGATTCAACAATCATTAGACGAGGTTAAGTTTAATATGTTTGTTCATTTATGTGTTAATGAATATGTTGGGCAAAGACACGTCTACATATACACTCTACACAATATATAATACTGGAATAAGAAAATTGTTTCCCCATTACAAAATTTCTATATTGAGACTGAAAGTGAATGATATTTTTGTCTTCAAAATTAGTTATCTGTATTATTTATAGAAAATAGAAAATTTTGGGATTTGAACCAATGTATCTTCAAACAAAGACAAGACTCATAACCATGATTATCAACCCGAGTTTGACTCGGCCGATCGAACCAATTATTCACAAACCCGAGTATCGTACTAAGCGCGGATGGCCGAATCGGTTATCTACTTGGGCCGACCAAACCCTGGACAACCCAATCAAACCAAGAAATTCGTCTGATTCAACCAACTAATCCGAGCACCGGGCCACTTCAAAACGACATCGTTTTCAACAAATCGTATTCGTAGCTCCATTTTCGTGGCATCCTTTTCCTAATCACAAACCTACAACAACAAACATAAAAACAAATCGCATGTTCGACTATCTCACCGTCTCTTCTTCCTTTATGTTCGACAGGCGGCAATACAAGGCTCAACCATCTCATAAACCATCCCAATCCATCGGTAGTCAATTCCATTTGCGTTCCAGCAAAACTATCATAGCGTCAACTGATCTCATCTCATACAAAGAAGAAGCAAGAAAGTTGAGAAGAACATGCATTTGGATTGAGATTTTGTGTAACTAATAAATGCCAAGTTGCTCATTTGCATGTGGGCTCTTTGTAGGAATTGTGATCTCAGCTGGTTTAAGAAGTCATGACTAGATTGGAAGATAAAAATTCGATCAGATTATTCGGGTGACCACTAATTTACAGTTGTTTGAACTGGTACAAGAATTTTTTATAGGGTAATGTCTATTTTTTATCCAAACCTTTTTCAAATTCTTTTATATTATCCAAACCTATCGAAATACTAACAATTACCCAAATGTTAACTTTCAGTTAGTAATTTTGTTAGTAATATTGACTTGACATACTGACTTGGAATAGACTCATGAAGTCAACATTTCCAAAATTTTAATATTTTAACTAAGGAAAGAGTCACAAAATTATTAACGATAGCATAAAAATGGCTAATATATTGATGCATTATGAAATATTTGGATAATTAATAGAATATAATAGGTTTGGATAATATAAAAGAATCTGAAAAAGATTTGAATAAAAATAGACATTACCCTTTTATATACTAGAATTTTAAAATTTTGGAGAAGATATGTTTTTTAAAAGAAAGGAATGAAAGGTTGACGATCGATAACTAGAAAAAATTGGAAGATTATGATAAATAATAATACCATGGGAGTGGGTACTGGGGTGCAAATTGGAGAAAACTTGGCGATTGCAATTACGAGGATATTAATACTTTTTCCTTTTATAAATAAAATTTACAACATAAAGCGAATTTAGATAACTTTATGTATAAAATTGGTCAAAAATCATTCGATTGAGTTATTAAAATTTATTATTTTATTCTTGATATGGGTATATAGTTAATTAAAATGAAAGGTGTTGTAGTATTTCGTCCAATGATTCTATCTCTCCTATATCGATAAATTACTACAATAACTATTTTTATGCTTCTATTGCTGAAGACGATGTTTGATCAGTTATATAGTCCTCTTTTACTTCTCTTCCTATACCAGATTTTGAACTTGAATGTGTTTTTGGTCTTCGTTCAAGGTTAATCGCTTCACATATGTAAGTCGTTCATTTTTTTCTCTTTGTCTCATGGTTTTATCTTACTTATTAATAACAAAAACGACTTTTATTTTCAGGTTGTATCGTGAGAAGAATATGCAGAAGATCTATTTATTTTGATCCTATAGGGTAAACGATGTTTGAAGCCCGGTGGATCTCTTGCGTCGTTGCTCCTCTTTCTGTTTTTAGGTTTCAACTTCAGTGAGGCTTTTATCTTCATAGAAGGTTCATTGAGTTGAACTGGTAGGCTATTATTCCCTTCCCAATTTATCTAAGCTGTTTGTGATTGATTTATAAAATATAGAAAAAAAATTTGAACGGTGGTTTGGGTGCTTGATTTGTTTGAAATCAAATAGATATTTGGGTAGAACACGAGCAGTTGTACTTTTCTATCTCTCTATGTACTTTTTTGGAGCATTTCTACTATGCTATATAGTATTGGTGCTTTATTGTACAACTTAAAGTTGTACCATAACATGAAATGTATAAGTTTAGACTTTAGATTGTACCATAATAGAATTTGTACCATTATGTTATGATACAACTTGAAGTTGTACCATCACATCAAGGTACAAGTTCAAGTTGTACCATAAAAGAATTTGTACAAACAGTATAGGTATAATCTAAAGTTGTACCATAACGTTAAATGTACAATTTCAAATTGTACTATAAAGACAAAAACCTATAGCACCAATACTATATAGTATTGTAAAATTCCTCACTTTTTTTGTTGTTTGTTTGCTGTATTTTTTTTGTTCTTTGGTTAGCTATTGAAATAATAAAATATATCAACATTTTATTTTTTCAGTATAATATTTCCGCTCATGATTTATTTTTTCATAGCTAATGTTCTCCAGAACCATATTTTTCTTCATTTATCTCGATTCTTATGGTCCAACTCATCGATCAAATTTTGATATTGTTTTAGGATTAGTTAGACACTGTTGATTTTGTCGATGCGTTTAGTGTCAATCAATATAATTGCAAGCCACAATGATTGGTAAAATTTAGCCTCCACGCAATAATACTCTGGGAGGTGGTGGTGTTGAACTTGGAGTAGAAGAGTTGGGATTAGGTTTGGGAAAGGAAATAGCGTGGGAAGAAATTATGTTCGGATTTGGTAGCAAGTAAAGTTCAACTACATCAGGTGAAGACAGAGAAGAGGGAGTTGGCGAGGGTAGTGATCAAACTGAGGAGGGTATTGAAAGACATGAAAGTAAAACTGGAGTAGTTTAAGAGAGAGAAGTGAGAGATGATGAGGATATTTATGAAAATGGAGAGGGTGACATGGAAGTGATCCGAAGTAGGTGAAGGTAGTCAAGGAGGATATGAGCATACTGATGGAATTGGAGATGAGGAGTGGCTTTACCGAGCTTATTACAAATGCCCCTAAGGAAGATGAGTTGGCCAAATACAAGAAAAGGTTGAGCAGTTGAAGAGCGAGTTGACAAGAATCCCAATTGGAAGAGAAATTGAGGGCCATATAGAGAAGGTCCATCAAAGTAGCAGAAATAGAATTGCAGGAGAAGGATTAGAAAGTGAACTTTGGATTGAAACAAATGCCTCTTGAGATTGCAGATAGAGGGTATAAAAAGTTGGTTGTACTTCGAATAGTGGTGGCTATTGGTCTTTAGGTTTATGGTTGTGCAGCTACCACAACCTATGTCTATATTAAAATGAGGAATCATTTATTGATTTATTTAAATTAAGGTCGATTCTCTATTCAAACTAATGGGAGATAAGTAGTGTCTAATTTTGTGTCTTATCAGTTTGATCGAGTCATTAGTATATTAGAGATAACCTTAATTTTGTCATTTGCGCTCAACTTTTGATGGTTCCATTTTAGTTGATTTGTTAGTATATGGTTGACTTGTATCAACAACTCTTCATTTCTTTTTAATTAGTGGCATGTGGTTCCTAAAAGGAGAGCATTGAACCCTTTATGTAGGATTATGAGATTTTAGCTTTAGTTTTCAATTATTTATGGATCGTGTGGAAATTCCAGCGGGCTTTTATATTCTATATGTCCTGACAATTAATTAACCAATAGCATTTTAACGAAAACTTAATTATAATTATGAAATTGGATTAAGGATATATTTTTATATTTTATATACTTAAACGGATTAATAAAGTTAAACATAACATAAAATATAAATACTCAAATACAAACATTCATACTAATGGGGTTGGGTTATAAACTAGTTATGCAAGGAGGTTCTTCGCGGACACCCACTTCATTCCATTATACCTGGTTTTTGCGCACTGTTCGGAGAGAGCTTTTAGTCTTTTGCTTTTCTCACTTTTTTTATTTTTTTTATTTGAAGAAGAGGCTTTTGCTCTTTTAAAAACTCTATTAAAGAATTAGCAAAGAATACGAAGATTACAAAATCGAAGCACTACGTTTCTAGGCAAGCGGTGAAAGAAAGTGAAGCACGTTCTCTTCCAATTAAGTTTTAACCGATGACTAATTCTGATCATTTGCTTTGATAATTGAAGGATCTTATATTCATGAGAGGCAACTGGTAGTTTGATTTATTTTTTATATGGGAAAACCATCCAAATAAGCAAATACAACTATTTGTAAAAAATTTAATGCAAGTACCTATATCTGTTTTTTTTTTTTTGTCATAGGTAAGTACCTATATCTTTATCAGAGGAATTTTATCATGCTTTAAAGCATTGGTGTTTTAGGGGTTACTTTGGTTTTGGTGATAGTTTGGTTGAGATAGTTACAATGCATGTATTGTCCATAATGCATTATTTTTCTGTTGGTGATAGTTAAATTGGTGCATTGTTATCAATGCATGCATAATAATATACATGTCTATACGAAATTGGTGTATTGCGGTTTACATTGTTTGGCTTATGTGATAGTTATTTTAGTATTCAATAATTTGGATTTCTTTTGAGTGAAATATCACTTTTACCCTTTGTTTTTAATATAAAAAAGCAATACACATAATAAAGTAGGGTCATGTGATAGTTATTATAGCATTTAAATAAATTAATTTTCTCATAAGTTGTAGTCTAGTTGGCTCTCTAGTCACAATGTTGGGACATCTCATAAGTTCAAAACGAGACTGTTCATGAGTTGTATTAAACGAGCCACCTAAAGAGTAATATAATTTATTTAAATACTACAATAACTATCATAGAAACCAAACGATGTAAACTACACCAATTTTCTAATATACGTGTATATTATTTTTCATGCACAATGCATCGATTTAACTCTCACCAAAATCCAACGACCCCTTAGTTTTTGCTTTTATGGTACAACTTGAAGTTGTACCTTCAACGTTATGGTACAACTTTAGGTTCCACCTATACTTTTTTTGTAAATTCTCTTTATGGTACAAACTAAAGTTGTACTTTCTTGTTATGATACAACTTGAAGTCGTACCATAACATAATTGTCAAATTCTCTTATGGTACAACTTTAATTTGTACTTTAAAGCACCAATACTTTAAAGCATAGTAGAAGTGCTCATCTTTATTAGCATAATGTTATATATCTTAAAGTTTAATGTGTATCCGTGCCACGAATCATGTTCATGCCAAAATATTGCTCACCAAAGTTCAAAAATACTTAGAAAATTACATGAAATTTCTTAAACATATAATTAGCTTTCTTGTGGATCTTCACTAAGGTTAAACATTTAAGTGCCTTGCTTCTTAGCTAAGTATCTTTGACACCCGAATTCTCCTAACCAAAAAAATTATGGTCATAATTGTTGGCGCAATTTTAGGTATATAGTCGAGTACATTGATAATAGAGTTCTTGTTCAAAAACCTGAATGAAGTAATAATAAAGGTTGTTTAATGGATAGAAATGAGCAAACACTGTTGAAAGTATGAATGATAAATGAGAGGTTTTTTATCGAAAGGCATAGTACAACAATACAATAAAACAATGATTCCAATATAGCACGAGATAGTTTGTAAGCAACTAGCCTACTGATGAAATAATTTTTTCACTACAATAAAACAATAATTTTTTCACTACAAGGAGCAAAAAGACAGCGTCACTAATAAAAAAAACCTCCAAGATAGCTTACAGTGAGTGTGTATATTTGATTAATGCATTAGAATTCTTAACTATATTGAGTCATTTAGAAACAGAAAAGTACTTGGACAGGGATGAAGTAAATTGACTTAGGATTTTTTCTAATTACTCCATTTATTATTTTTCATTTACATTATGATATGAGTAAAAATCACAAGAAATTATTCATCATTCTATATGTGTTTATACATCATCTAATATTTAAACTTTCAAATAGAAAGTGATTCCGTAAGAAAAAAGTAATCCAACCAACTCGCCAACCAAAATTTAGGAGTTCGTTTTTTAACATCCAAATGGAAAATTAAGGTTTTGAAGCGTCCAAATAGTTTAAACTTTTGAAAACTTGAAGGCGAATATGAAAATAGCATATTACATATAAAATTCAAACAATTAGTAATCAGTTCTAATCAATTACCTCAATTATCCAAGCATACGATGATATTTTATTGTACAAACATACATGTTAATGTTATCTAAAAACAAATGAGGTTGATAAAAAGTGAATCAAAGAATATTTCTTTTAAGTTTGAATTACTATACTATGTATGATAGTAATCAAACATTTCATATTTACTTTAATTCGATGTTGTTAATGGCTCATCAATAAAAAAAAAGTCAAAAAATGTGTAGTAATTTCTAACAACAAGTAGTAAATCAAATTGTGGTTTTACAAATGTTTTCGAAGTGGATCCTATTGCAGAGATTTTGTCTAACTTTCCCTACGAACTTTCATCAATGAATCCTTAGAATGTCGCTAAACTCTACGATGTATTTTTTTATTTTACAAATATTAAATAATTTGGATGATTTTTTAATAATATTGAATAAAAATGTATCTCACTTTATACTATTGGGATCGCTGAAATGTATCCGGCGAGATCGTTGTTTATTATGTTCAATGACAAAATGTATCCGGTCAATGGGCAGGCACAAATCTAGTTTTTGCTGGAGAAATGCATGTAACATCATTCTATTCAAATTTGATGATTGTACTTTTAATAAGGCATGTCCAATAACAATATCCAAAACAATAAGATTCATCATACGGCCATCAACCATCCACCTTCTAGTGAAATTGACAGTTAGGACCCCTAGAATGTCTGTCATATATGACCAGTTATGTGTGTTGTGCCAGCTGAATGCTAATTTTGGACTTGTGTATGAAATATTTTGTCCAACCTTATTTTTTTATGTAGATCCTTTTTGGTGGAGGGTATTTCACAGCACATAAACAATTGAGGAAATCTGGTTCACAAGCTACTGATGTTGAAAAACTAAATGATGTGTGAATTTGTCTTGAGTATCAATAAAAAAGAAAACACCTTCACTCAACAAAGATGTGCTAGTTTTCAATAATACACATAAAGATATTGTAGCGCTGCAGGAGCTTAGATGCTCGAATATTATTTTCAATATCAGTTCATTATGTTACTAATATTGATCAGCAAACGCCATCGTACTTAACAAATGGGACAATCTCAAAAGGAACAACACGATGATCATGTTCTATCCATCATACCCCATCCCCCACACCACCACCCGAATAACTACCTCTTTCGTAGTTGATCGAGTAACCATCCCCTTTGTACCTATCTGCAACACCATCATTATAAAATAAACACAAGGACAACAATATTGGAGGAGGGGGTGGGGGGGGGGGGGAGAGAGAGAGAGATAGAGAGAGAGAGAGAGAGAGAGAGCTCAAATCATCCCCATCAAATCTTTCGTTTCATGTTCATTTTATCCCCTGTTCCAAGCTAAGTAGATTCCAAACAATACATCAAGAGCCGTCTTGAGAATTTTTTTTCTCCCCATGTTTTTCTCCATTACCGAAAAGGCTTGGGTTCCTTCTTCAGTTTTTTATAAAGCTGCCGCTTTCGTAGCCTTCAATATTCAGATATCTTCATCAACCAAATCTAGCAGAAAGATCAAGGAAATCAGTAGTGGTTTAAATGAAGGGATACCTAGCATTGAAGTTGACTTATGCTCAACCACACCGGCGGACAGGAGAAGGTGCAATAAAAAGACGATATCTCAAAGGAAATCTATACAACCGCCTCCCAAGCCACCTGAAACTCTAGCCAGCAATCAATGCTGGAGAGGAATAATCATGAACACAAATGGGGGAGTAAAGGCAGCTCAGATAGCGTTGGGAAGGAGGGATACTAAAGAGAAGCAGAAGGAAGCATGTCCCAAGAAAGATCCACACAATAGAAGTCACCAGTAGATGCCTCGCAAGGAGATATGGGAAATTAATGCAACAATCATCAACACTACTGAGATCTACTTGTTCTCTCTGACAAGCAACTCCCAGCACAAGTAAACGCAAGAAGGAGCAATGGAGCTGGCCGAATCCGCAGGGCTCGGCCTCCTGACAACACACCAGAAATAGGCAGTGCAATGAGAAGAAAAGTTAATGGAAAGAAGAACAAGAACCCCAAATGACAATTAAGATGAAGTGGAAGAAGGAGTCTGGAAAAGGCTATACAGAGGCAACCACAACAATTAATACAGATAGCATTCAATGGTAGCTCTCTAGGAAGCAATCAATGGGAAAGGGAGAAGATGGCCTATTTAAAGGAATCCCAACATGAAGATCATACTCACCTCTATCATAGTTCTCATAAACGCAGGAAAAAACTCCCCAATACCAGCAGAGAAGTCACAAAAAGCCCGAGCTCCAATTCGAACCCTCCCCCTCCCCTGTCAATGGAACCCAATACAATGAATCTAAGAGGAGAGAAGAGCCACCTGGTCCTGAATGTGAGGCCTAGAGTAACTAGCGCAAGAGGCAGTGGCATGGCCATGCTACTTGGCAAATGGGTCACTGATGCAAATATCAACCTACAAAAGGCCAAGAACACTGCAATCAGTAAATGGAGAGCATACGGGGAGATTCAAGCAACCAAAGAAGTGGATAACCTTTATGTCTACTCCTTTCAGTCAACAAAACAAAGAGATGCAGTCTGGGAAGCACGACCATGGAACCTCGGCAACACAGTGGTGGCACTGAGGAAATGGGATGGCGAACATAAAGCAAAACCCTCTGATATCCCAATAGTTACACTATGGGTCCAAATGCACGATCTTTCTCAATCTCTCAAAGACGAGGAATCCATCCAGGCAGTTGTTGAATTCATCTTCCCATACCACCACTGCATTGACCAATCCAACTTCGAATTCAGAGGCTGGCTGAAATTCATAAGGGCCAAAGTGGAGTTCAACCTCGACAAACCCATCCCGATCAGATTCGAATACCCGTTGGGGGAAATATCCATCTGGGTCAACTTCAAATACGAGCAGATAATGGACATATGCTACTTCTGTGGAAAGTTGGGCCACCTGATCCAGAATTGCCTTGACAGAGAAGATCATCGAAGAAGGGGGTTATGCACTGATCCTTCGGAGGTTTACACGGCCGCTCTAAAGGCTAGGCATGATTCACCGGCAAACACGCCGCCGACCTCGTTCCGTGAAAATCTGTCCATATCGAGACAATTGACAAGTTCTAACCCAAGGACCCACCGACGACGAGGATCACAAGGTGAATCTTCATTTATGTCACTGGTGGGGCGCACTGGCCAGGGGTTGTCATCATGCCCACCGGGTTTCGCAGCACTAGACATGGAAGAGCCATGAATGATGAGAGGTAACGACTAGCTACAAAGAGGAGACATCAGAAGCCCCACCCCACTTTTTCAATTTGCCTTTCTGGAGGAGGAGATGGAAGCGGCGACTCTGGCTATGCAGATGAGCCTTGACCTAACTGAAAGGGAGGGTACCCGAAGTAAGCATGCAGGCTTGGTGGAGATGGGCCAGTCTTTATCACTAGCAAGCCCAATATATTCACATCTTGAGCCAAACCCGGCCCAAGCTGAAGCCGAACAACAACCACTCCTGCTCAGCCCTCTTGGCCAGAATCCATTCTTAATAACTGAAACTGAGTCCTTAACGGATGGCGATGAGATCAGGCCCAGACCGAAAAATAAGAGGAAGCCTGATAACAGAGACAAACCAACAAGCTCCCATCCTTAGCAAACTCCTTCTACTAACCTGTCTATTGAATCCCTGTCGTTTGTTCCAGGTAAAAGCAAGAGAACCTATCAGTGTAGGAAGCACACCATAAGGAGAAGGAGTATTGCATAGATCATAGCTTATGAAAATCAATGCGGGGAAGGAGAATCGAATTCCCCAAGGGCGACAGCGACAAGCATGAGAATCATTGGCTGGAATTGTAGGGGGTATGGCCAACCTCTTACAGGAAGCTACTGCGGCATACTTTGCCAGAAATTTGGCCCTTCAATGTTGTTCATCATGGAAACTAAGAAAGATGATTCCTTTCTTGAAAAAAAAAAGACGCGCATTGAAGTTTGACCACTCAGAGTACGTTAGTCCTGTAGTAGAAAGTAACGGATTAGCCATGTGGTGGAAAGATGATGTAGTAGTGGGTATCCTAAACTCTTGTAATTCATTAATGGACGTTAGTAACTGTAGGGACGGTGTGACCTTCTTTGTACCTTCATCCATGATCCTACCACGACGGTAGAGAGAAGAGTTCTCTGGGATCGACTTACGACCTTGAGAGACACCCAGGATGAAAAGTGGCTAATTGTGGGAGATTTGAATGTTGCTTTGTTCCCTTTTGAAAAGCAGGGGCGCTGCCAGCTGCAGAATGATAACATGGCCCCTTTCAAGTATTTCATTGCTTGGAACGCTTTGCTGGACCTTGGCTTCTCTGGTCAGCCGTTCACCCGGACGAACAAACAGCAAGGAAACAATCTGATTAGGGAAAGACTTGATCGAGCACTGTGCTCTACATCTTGGAGACTTGAGTTTGAATCAGCGGTTGTCTTCCATGAAGATTTTTCGAATCTTACCATTGTCCGATCAGGATTGATCTATCTCTAAAGAAGCAAAAAACTATACTCCTTTCAGATTCGACAAGAGATGGCAGGAAAATGATGAATGCTGCCAGATTATCAATAACATGTGGAATAGAGGGGGCAGAGTGCATAATATTCTCAAAAGTTGCCAGGAATAACTTAATAGTTGGGCAAGAACTGATCGCGCCAACAAGTGTAGGAGGGAGAATGAGATTAAGCTCAGAATTCAAGAGATACAAGGCCCATCTAGAACCCCTGAAATGATTATCGAGGAGAAGAACCTCCAGCAGGAATTGAAAATGTTATGGAATTCGGAGTAGGAATTCTAGGCTCAAAGATCAAGGAACAATTGGCTTCAAGAGGGAGACCAGAACACAGGTTTCTTCCATGCTAGCACTATTAAAAGACGGAACTCAAATAAAATTCTCAAACTAAAGGATGGTAATGGTAGGTGGATTGAGGATGAACATGAACTTGATGAACATATCAATATGTTTTACCGTGGCCTTTTCACCAGCAGGAGAGGTGCTTTCGACCACTCTATTATGTTTGGTTTCCCTTCCCTGGTCACGGATGATCTGAATTGTGCCCTTACTGCTCCACTGAATGTTGTTGAGATCCGGAAGGCGATTTTTCAACTGGGTGCCAACAAGGCACCGGGACCTGATGGTTTTACGAGTTTCTTCTTTCATAAGTACTGGGCCCTTATTGGTGACACTTTCTGTGAAGAGATTATCAATTTTTTCATTACAAGTGCTATGCCAGAGGAGTGGAACAACACCTTCATTACCCTCATTCCAAAAGTTTCTTCACCCGAGACAATTAAACAGTTCCGACCCATCAGCTGCTACAACTTCCGCTACAAAGGTATCACAAAAATCATTACGAATAGACTCCAGCCTTGGCTGCCGGGATTGGTGAATGAGCTGCAATCAGCATTCACAGGAGGGCGTCAGATTCAGGACAACATTATTATTATTCACGAAGTACTGAATCACTTCAAGAAGCACAAATATGGGAATCGAAGGGATATGATGATAAAATTGGATATAAAAAAGGCGTATGATTTGGTGGAATGGGATTTTCTCATCGAACTATTGCAAGCTTATGGTTTCAGTAGTGTTTGGTGTGGTTGGGTCCAAGCATGTGTTAGCTCGGTTAGATTCCGATTGCTACTTAATGGGGAGCCATCTTCGGAATTCCAGCCATCCAGTGGTTTGCATCAAGGAGATCCCCTCTCTCCACTCTTGTTCATCCTAATGTCAAAAGCTCTTTCCTTACCGATTGAGCGATCAGTTCATTGCCACGATATCAGGGGACTGAAGCTTAACAGAATGTGCCCCAGCCTCACCCATTGCCTTTTTGCGGATGATACGGTTATTTTTGGGGAAGCAGCGGTGACAAAAGCGGAGAGAATCTTGAAAAAAACTTACCAATTATGGTGCGATCACTGGCCAGGAGGTAAATAGGGAAAAATCGTCAGTGTTCGTCAGCTACGTGACTGGAGATGAACAAGGTGTTATTATCAAAACCATTGGTTTTGCTGATTCCAACTGCCACTCCAAGTACTTAGGAGTTCCTACAGAGTGGGGAAGATAAAAAAAACCGAAACCTTTCAATTCCTCATCCAATGTATGGAAAACAAAGGTGAGGTGTGGAAGAGCCTCCTGCTTTCACCGGGAGGCAAAGAAACTCTTTTGAAAGTTGTGTTCCAAGCTATTCCTTCCTTTGTCATGTGTTTGTTCTTGCTCCCCCGAACCACAACAAAGAAGATGGATAGCATGCTCAAACAGTTCTTTTTGGGAGGTTCGATCTCTAAGAAGACCATTCACTGGAGAGCAGGTCGAGTTCTTTATGCCCTGAAAGTGAAAGGAGGTCTCGGGTTTCGACCATTCCATGAATTCAATTTGGCCCTCCTCGTCAAGCAAGCTTGGAGGATTCTCACCAATCTGGAAGCCTTGTGTGTTAAGGTTCTCAAAGCCCTCTATTTCCCCGTTATGACTTTCTTGCCGGAAGGAAAGGGGGCAAAGCCTCTTGGATTTGGTCCAACCTGTGGGAAGCGAAGAAATGGATGGAGCAAGGTGTCATTCGAGTGACTGGCAACGGGAGATCTACCAGAATCTTTCAAGACCCATGGCTCTTTGTCCGGACGGGGATTCTTTTTCAGCAGGGGTGCTCTTTCTCGACAACAGCGGACCATTGGATCAACGGGATCACCAAAGCTTGGAAGTTTGATCTACTGGAGGAATTCCTTCCTCCTCTGGAGCTGCAACAGGTAACTAGCACTCCAATTGGCCCGAATTCCTTGGAGGACTTCTGGGCCTGGCACTTTTTTGAATAGGGTAATTTTACAGTAAAATCGGCTTTACACTGCTTCCGTAACCAGTCTCGAATGGATTAGGATAATTTTGAGAAAGTCTCGGAAGACAGTAAAGAGCGCTAGAAGTGGCCGTGGAGTCTCTCCCTCATGCCTAAACTGAAATTCTTCATCTAGAGATGCAGTAAAGGAGCTCTGGCCACTAAGGAGAACCTTCATGCACATAGCTCCTCTCTTTCTAAGCAATGTTCGTTGTGCGTTTACCCTGTGGAATCAACCCATCACTGCTTTTTCTTTTGTCCACACGCTGCTGAAGGCTGGAGGGTTGAATGGCCTTCCTTGGCTGTCCCCCCTTGTCACGCTGACATCTTGGAATGGCTCTCATCTCTGTGCCAGAGGTACCCTATTTCTACAATCCATAGAATCATCTATCTGATGTGGCAGACGTGGAAGACAAGAAATGGACATATTTTCAAAAACAAGAACCCCTGGTCTCCAGACACTATCTCCAATGCTCTTCGCAACTTCCAGCAATGGTCCTCTTGTACCAAGAAGAGGAATGCCATTCACCCATCCACTCAGCCTACACAATCCCCGGATCATACTTCACCACCGCCAAGTACTCATGACTTTGAGATACAATGTGATGGATCGTTCTTACAAATTCCCAGGAGGCGGTTATGACGTTGTCGTTTCAAATAGTCATGGTCAAGTGTGCGATGGGAAGGCTGAGCCCCTACACTGTTTTTCTCTACTTGAAGCAGAAGCCAAGGCCCTCCTGGAGGGTTCTCGTTTGGATGTTGAGCTCGGTCTCCCCAGCCTCATCCGCTCGGATTGCCTTACATTGGTGAAGGCGATCCATGGTTCGCCTGGTTCTTCGCCGTGGCGAGCAGCGGCTTGGCTTGGGTCGATCAGACAAATTTGTGATGCTTTTCCATGGATTCGGATCGAGCACTTCAGTCGGAAGCTCAACTCTAAAGCAAACTGGTGGCAAGAGCTTGCACTCGGAAACAACTGCCTTACGAATGGATTCATATTCTCGATGTTGTTGCTCCGCTTTTGTAACCCTTGGCTTTTGCCACAAGTAATGAAAAGCATGTGTCCTATTGTAAAAAAAACACCATCATTATAAGACCCCCCCCCCCCTCAAGTATGTGTCCTAAAGCAAACTGGTGGCAAGAGCTTGCGCTCGGAAACAACTGGCTGACGAACAGATTCATATTCTCGATGTTGTTGCTCCGCTTTTGTAACCCTTGGCTTTTGCCACAAGTAATGAAAAGCATGTGTCCTATTGTAAAAAAAACACCATCATTATATAAGAACCCCCCCCCCCCCCCCCCCCTCCAAATTATGCATGGTTCCTACAACACTGCCATAGTGGTGAAAGGATGTTGCACCACCATGATAGCCATAACTCCCTACACCTGCACGAACCTCCTTAGTGTCAACGTATACTTCAGCAAGCCTGAGCTTGTTTTCAACATCATGTTAACCCCATAATTGCCAGACGTGATAACTTCTTCGTACATCACACCACCACCATAGGTGTTTCGATACGGTAAGTAATTTACAGACTCGCATCTGCCCTCATGCAAATCCATTCCACACAAATATCATAGAGTTCTTGCCACATGAATTTGCTCTCAATTTTCACCCTAGTGGATTCACCTACTTCATAATCCATCCCGATGTAGGAGTTCGTCATCTGAACATTCCCGAATAAGTAGCTGAAACTTTCAAAATTTTCTACCCATATCTGCAATTTACAATAACTAAGTATACATACAATTTAACATATAATCGATATTCAACAAGAGTAATACAACCTATAGACTACTTAAACACCAATATATCCTACGATTTACTTTTATCCAAATAATTAGCATAATTTATACAACTTCGTTCTTAAACACAACTACCTAGACACAAACATATTAACCACTAAAACATAACTACTTAAACATAAGTATACTAAACAACTTTGTCCTTACCTTCTCAAGCGAGGTTGGGGACATGGTGATGAGGGTTGTGAGATAGATAGGACAGTTTGAAAGCTCTAAGAGGAAATGAGAGTGGATAGAAATGGATGGTAAGAGACAATCATTAAATGGGAGCATATTGTACAATGATCACTTTAGAGATAAGCAATCTATGCTAAGTCGTTGTAAACAAAGTTGTTGGCCCCTTACCCTATCTTGGAGACATGTCGAGTTGAAAAGGATCGTGGGGCACTTTGATCGCTTCGGTAAGCGATTTAAGTTGATCGTTTGTGTCAAAAGCGATAAAAGGTTGATATGATCCCTTAAGACCATGGATTACGAAACCGTACCGGACATCAAACCGGAATCGTTTTTGGCATGGTAAATCGTGGTACAACCATGGTTCAACCGTTTCCTACCGGTAAATACCGTTTTTGGATTAAAAAAATTATTTTTCTGTTAAAAAACCGTACCGACAAAATTAGGGTACCATACCGGGGAAAATACCGGAATAATACCGGATTATACCGCCTAATTTCCCCACTAATTTCACCCCAAAACCCGTCCATATTCACTCTTCACATAAGAGACCCAACTCTATCTAGCATCAACTATCCGATTGAAACAAGATCCCCGAAATCTAAAACCCTAGCCGCCGAATTTCAATCCCTAGATTTTGCTACCGACACTCTTCTTCCTAATTCTCTTGTCTTCTTCTTCTTCTTCTTCTTCCGTTCGCCTGTTGTAAGCTGCGATGGCGAAGAAGCGAAAGCTTGACGCTTCGAAAGGCGCTGCATCGTCGGGGCCGCCCAAGAAACAACAGCAGCAACAACAACAGCTGCAGCTGCAGAAGCTGCAAGAAGAAGAGGCGAAGAAGGTTAAGGTAGAAGAAGAGGAGGAGGTGGCCGAAGAAGTGGAGGAGGAGGTGGAAGAAGTGGAGGAGGAAGTGGAAGATGCGAACGAAGGGGATAAGCAGATCGGTTCTTCTTCTGCGGCGGCGTCGGCTCCGGATGACGACGACGACGAGGAGCCGATTGAGAAGCTTCTCGAACCGTTCAGTAAGGATCAGCTCGCTAATTTGCTCCGCGATGCTGCGGAGATCCACCGCGATGTGGCGGATCGCATCCGGAGGATAGCCGATGATAGCCGATGAGGATCCTGTTCACCGCAAGATCTTTGTTCACGGGCTAGGCTGGGGACGCCGCTGTCGCCGGTGGTGAGAAAATGGAAGCGAGTTTGAGAGGCAGAGCGGCGCGGGGGAGTCGAGAGGAGAGTGTAGAGAGAAGGAAGAGCGCAGCAGCCGAAGGTAGGGTTTAGTGTAGTCTCTGCTTCTCTTCCATTTTTTTTTTTTTAGTTTGGTCAAAAACGGCGCCGTTTGGATTAAATTAAGGGGACCGCCGGTTTTAATAAAACCGGCCGAAATTTCGGCCCATTGCGGTCCAACCGTAAAAACCGCCCGGCAGGCTCTTGAATGGTACACAACCACTATTGTGTCGGGCCAGGTCCGGTTTCCGGTCCGACCGGCCGGTCTGGTACGGTATCCTGGTCCTTGCTTAAGACCATAGTAATGGAAAATAAATCGCTATAAACTTGCGCGATTAACTTGTTGATCTCTTTGTCCTCTAACGATATTGATCTTAATCGCGATCTAATGCATGCAAAGGTTTATCGCTTTTCTCACTTGCAATGGAAGGAAAATCGCTTTTATCTAAAACAATAAATGCAAAACATGTATAAATTGTCAAATTTTATGAATTATTGTATTTTTGAGATTTTTTTTTAAGAGTAGTGTACTTTGGAAAAATCTCAAAGAAACAGATTGCAAATATCAAATCTCTCATCATTCAAACTCTTTAATCAATCAATCAACCATTCTCTAATGAGTCCCCCGAAACGACGACAATCGAGGCAAATGTGAAGTCAAGGACTCGATCACTCTCCCGGCAATCGTAGTCGGCGAGGAGGCGGCGGATTCCTCATCGGCGTCCCGCCAGAACTTGATGATCTGAAGGTTCTCCTCCTCCGTCGATCTCTGAACCACGATCCTCGAAGCGTACCCTTTCCTCCCCATCAATCGGCAAATCTGCGAAGGGTCATTCGCCGTCAGGGTCACCATATACAACCATCCCCTGCTCGACAGCAGCCTATCCGCCGCCGGCAGTATCCGATCGATCACCCTCCGCCCGTTCTCTCCGCCGGCCCAAGCCGCCGCGATTCCTGGCGCCCCGACTTCGTCCTCGGGTGTCGGCACGTAGGGCGGGTTCACGACCATCAGATCCACCTTCCCGGCCAGACGGTCTTCGAGTCCCGACGCGATGTCGGCGAGGAGCAGCTCCGCCTCGACCCCGTGCGCCGCCAGAGTCTCCCCGGTGACGCTGAGAGCGTGAGGGTTGATGTCGGTCGCGAGGAAGTAGGCGGCGGAGGAGGGGATCTGGCGGCGGAGCATTAGGGCTAGGGAAGTGATGACGTAGCCGCTGCCGCAGCCGACCTCGAGGCAGATGGCCGGGCGGTGGAGCAGCAAGTTGGTTCGATCGGCGAGGAGGGCGTCGACGAGGGCGAAGGAATCGTCGCAGGGTTCGTATACCTCTGGGTGCGAGCTCACCAATCGGATCTGCGCTGTCTTCCACCCAATTCCTTCCATTGTAACTGTCACCTAATTCATGGGCCGCAGGGGCGGAGAGAAGATGGGATTTGGCGGTGGAGACGAGCGGAGGAACTGATTTAGGGTTTGGGAATCGACGTTTTGGGGACGGAAACGACGGGGTGGTGTTAACTAAAAGTGGGCTTTTGATGTAAGTTGGGCCCAGTCTTTACAAATCAGAAGCCTGCTTCGGTTCGCACACAGCTCAAGCTCAAAACTCTAAATAAGCTGCCGTTTTGGACTAAAAGCCAAAAAGAGCTTTCCTTCCTCAAGTTCGAGCAAAACTGCACGCATGGCACTCTGTTTTCACGTTCAGAACAGAGCATTTGTTGACCAATCTCAGCTTTCTTCGCCAAAGGAAAACGGATTTGATCGACGCAATTTACTTATTTACTGAACAATGGAACTTTGGGAGATGATAAAGAAGAAAGAAGAATGCTTTTGAAATCACATCTTCCATATACTACCTTCATCTCCGTCAGAATTCCATTACATTACACGTCCCTTCAAAAATTATGAATTCCCCTGTTTAAGAAATGACATACACTCTAAAACTCACATAAAAGCTTCCCTTTCAACAATTGCTACACCAATGATAATATCACAAAACACACCCAAAAACAACTTAATCAAAACCGAATATATATCTATATATACACACTTGCTCTGCTACTACTGTTACTTCCATGGATGGATCGTATGCGACCACTTACTTAGCCCTCTTGATTAACTCCCTCCCAAGACAAAGAAAACAGTCCTACACTCCTACTGCATCTGGAAAGTATTGGGTTTTTGGGCTTGGGCAAGCATTTGAACCACTTCTCTCATGGTTGGCCTCTCCACGCTGTGTTCCTGGACACACAACATTGCCACAAAGAACACCTGCATGGCTTCGACCAAAGGGATCTCGGACAGCCTCTGATCCAAGATCTTCAACACTTTCTCTTTGGTGGAGTTGGTTTGGATCCTCGTCCACTGCACAATGTCTAGCCCTTCTTCCTCGAAATCGCCCACCGGCCTTCTCCCTGTTATCAACTCCAGCAGCACCACTCCAAAGCTGTACACATCGCTCTTCTCGTCCACCTTCAGGGTGTACGCATACTCTGCAACCAAGCAGAGAAAACAACATAAAGACCCATAAGCCCTAAGTTACAGAAATCTTGCTTTCTTATATGAAATTGTGAACCCTTTGCACAATTGTTTTAGCAGGGTGGAAGGATATCTTAAGTAAGGGTTACATATTCAATCAACCCATCTCCCTAAGACTAAGAGGTAAAGTAAAAGGAGCATTTAAAAGGAAAAGAAGGAATCATTTGTGCTTTATCTAGGGCTTTGGGAAAGCAAGGTTTGGATACCATCATACATGATATGATAGATCCCAGTCAGGTTCTCCAATCCAAGAGATTGGTTAGTTTTTTTTCCTGTTCTGCTTGGGAATTTACCAATGCTCTGTATTTGGGTTTCTGGGTTTGGGTCAAAAGGGTTGGTCTTGATTGGCTTCTAAGATTCATATGAGGTATATGGTCCCAAGGCATGCAGTATAGACAGACATTTCACCATGGGATAAAGTGGAGATCAAAGGCAGAGAGATACAGAGAGACAGAGGGCTGTAAAGCCCTAAAGAAAGGGAGAATTTTCCTTTGTGTTAGTGGAGTGGATCCCTTGGCCACTTTGGCTCTTGTTACTATACAACTCCACTTTGGTTCTAGTAAAACTATGCTTGTCCTATTCCCCAAACCCCCACCAACCCAACAAGGAAAAGGTAAAGGCAAAAGGAAAAGTAAAAGAACACTAAATCCAGAAATACTCACCTATAGATAATATGACTACCCAAAAACATCAAAGTTTCCACTCATAGATATAGATCAAGTATGGTTTGCTATTGTAGATATAGACATAGCAAGAGAGATGCTATCATTGTTTTTTCAAGAGAATCAAATGCATAGCAGGAGACACAATCATTGTTTATAAGGAGTAATCAGATTTCATATGCATATAGGGATGACAATAGGATAGGTCGATGTGTATATCTCTATACTCATACTAGTCTTGTGATAGGTTATGTCCAGATCAGATAATTTGTCACAGGGTTGGTCGAGGCAGGTCAATTCATGCGGATATGTAATTTAAAGGAAAAATATTAAAACGGTAGATTGTTTCATTAAAAAATCAGGACACGAACTATACACAGTTCTCTTATGTTTACAACTTTAGTATAACTAAAATGTGAGATAATAAAAGAAAAATCATAAATAGTTTGAGTAAAATTGTAAATAGTTTAGGAGGGAAAATGAGTCTAGAATGGATGGATCAAGTCGAGAGTGTGTACCCATGACGACCTCGCCCGCATACGGGACGTAAATTACTCACGTCTAAAGAGGTCAAATCTATATATATGGTAAAACAGTTCAGGTCAAAATTGACATCCCCTATACATATAAAATATAATGTTTTGCTAGTTGTAAAACAACCGCCGAAAACATGTCTAACAAATCAAGTAAAAATGATTAGATCAAAACTGTCATCCCTATCTCTGCACGGTTACAAAATATTATGTTTTTCTAGTTGCAAAAATAATATATATAGTTTTATAAATGTTGGCGTAAATTTGCATATAAAACATGCCTTGTATTGTAAGTAAACAAACGAGGGCACCACTCATGAAAAATTGAATGATTAAATTTGGTATATATGGGAAACCCAATCATTAGTCTTTGTTCAAAGGTCAAAAGCATATCTGTGCCAAAAGAATAATGTTGCATTGTTGCCTTTCTTTAGCGGCGCAATCAAATACTCTTGTCGCCGACCAGAACGACTCAGCCAGCCAGGGCCAGGGCCATTCATGGTGGTTTAATTTAGCTTCAAATAAATTAAACTCCTCACTTACCTGGCGCAATGTAGCCGTAGGAACCGGCGATCGCCGACATGCACTCCGACGTGCCTGAATCCTGCAAGAACTTGGCCAGCCCGAAATCCGCAACATGAGCCTCGAACTCAGAGTTAAGCAATATGTTATTCGACTTCACATCTCTGTGTAGGATCAATGGCGAACAATCATGGTGCAAGTAACACAGTCCCTTGGCAGCTTCAATGGCGATTTGCAGCCTCGTCTCCCACTTCAAAAACCCTCCTCTCTTCCCGTGCAGAGCCTCACCCAAGCTCCCATTGGGCATGTACTCATAGACCAGCAAATTCGTCTCTTTGTTGGAACAGAAGGCAATCAGCCTCACAATGTTCCTGTGCCTGATCTTCCCCAGAGTCTGTATCTCCGCCGACAGACCATTGTCGTGATGAGAGGAAGAATTACCGCCTTTCCCGATTCCCAGCAGCTTTTTAACCGCGACTTGTTCGCCGTCGGGCATCGTTCCCCTGTACACAGTGCCGGCTCCTCCCCTGCCTATTACATTGTTGTCTTTGACGCACTCCAGGACGTCCTGGCACCCGAATTCGAGACGCTGGAAGCTCGTCAGCTTCCATCTCCGGCTCGAATTCTTCCGCCATTTCCTCGTCTTGATGATTGCTAGGGTAACAAACATCAGGGAGCAGAAAAGCAGGCCGATAGCGAAGAGGAGCTTGAATTTCCCCGAAACCTGGGACTTGCCTGTTTTGCTCTGGCTCCGGAATTGTAGAGGAGAATCGACTGATGAATAGTTGCATTTTGTGGTGTTATTCAAAACGGCGCCGCATAGCTGAGGATTGCCGACGAACGACGTCGCGTTGAAGAACAAGTACTGGCCCGATTCCGGGATCGGACCGGAGAAGTTGTTGTGGGAGAAATCGGCTGATGTTAGGCTCTTCATCGACCCGATTTCCCTCGGGAGGGTCTGGTTCAGGCGGTTCCACGACACGTTGAGGTAGTTCAGGATGTGGATTTGAGCGATCTGGACCGGGATCGGACCGGTAAGCTGGTTCTGGCTCAAATCCAAGTAGGTTAACATGAGGCAGTTCCCTATGGTTGGAGGGATGGTGCCCGAGAAATTGTTCCTGCTCATGTCTAACGTAAGCACATTCTTCAACTGACCGATTTCGGAAGGGATTGGTCCGGTGAGTTGGTTACCATTCAGAAGCAGAATCTGCAGGCTGGAGAGGTTCCCAATCGAACCCGGGAGAGGCCCGGATAACCGGTTCCCAGAAAGATTCAGCTGCTCCAGTTTCTTGATCGGTTTGCTGCTGGTTTGTTCTGGAACCGGCCCGGTCAGGTAATTGCTCTGCAGCTCCATGAGGGAAAGCTCCGGCAAGTAGAGCAACCCGCCGGGAATTCTCCCGGTCAGGTAATTCTGGCCCAAGCGAACCCTCCACAGCGTCTCGCAGTTGCCGAGATCGTCGGGCAACGATCCGAACAGGAAATTGATGCGGAGGATCAGAATCTTCAGCTTCCTCCCCAAACAGAGCGACTGCGGGATGCTTCCGGTGAGCTTGTTGCTCGAGAGATCGAGTTCGATCAACCTCCCGTTTTCGCCAAGCTTCTCCGGGATCGAACCGGTGAAGTTGTTGTGCCAGAGCTTCAGGACCTCGAGATTGGGAAGCTCGGCGACGAATTGGGGGATTTCGCCGTGTAGCTTGTTGAGGAAGAGATTCACCAGAGTGAGCTGATGAAGGCCCGAGAGCTCAACGGGAATTCCACCGGTCAGGACGTTGTTGGAGAGATCCAGAGTCTTGAGGCTGCTGAGGTTTCTCAGCTGGGGAGGAATCGAGCCGGCGAGCTCGTTGGTTTGCAGGAACAGAGTGTCTAGCTTGCTGAGGTTCCCCAATTCCGGAGGAATCGGACCTTCCAATTTACAATTGGCGATGTCCAAATGGATCAAGTTTGCCAATTTACCGATTTCCGGCGGGATTCCGCCGCTGAACTGGTTGTAATAACCCAAATAGAGCTGCTGCAGACTGGTCAAGTTGCCAATCTCGGCCGGAATCCGGCCGCGGAGATCGTTGCCCTTGAGGGACAGGTAAACGAGCTGCTCCATTTTTCCGTAGCTCCGGGGGATTTCTCCGGTGAAGTAATTCCCGCCAAAATCCAAGTGCTTCAGGTTCGGAAGCAGAGTGATTCCAACTGGGAGGGAGCCGTTGAAACTGTTGTCGTAGATGTCAAGAACGGCTAGGGATTTGATCCGGCCGAAATCCCAATTGACCTCTCCGGCGAAGAGGTTGGTGGAGATGTTGAGAAGCTGAAGCCGGGGGAGCTTGTGAAGAACATCATCCCCCGGGAAGTCGCCGGAGAAGCTGTTTCCAGCGAGGGAGAGGTTGGTGAGGCCGTGGAGCTGGGCGATTGCAGGGGAAAGGGTACCGGAGATGTTGCGATTCGAGACGTCGACGGCGATCACCGACCGATTGGATTGGTCGCATTGGATTCCTGCCCAGGAAGAACAGAGTTTGGAGAAATCCGAAAGGTCCCAGGAATCGAGAGAAGGGTCGTGGGATTCGAAGGATTGCTTGACTGAAACAAGGATTGAAGCTTGCCTTTTCAGGTAAAGTTGATGAGAAGAGAGCGAATCGGAAGAATGGAGAAGCAGAAGCAGGATGAATGAAAAGAAGACGGCGAAAACCACAGCCATTTGTGGGTTTGGAATTGAGAAGAAGAGGGGTTGGGTTTTGGTGGGAAAGGAATTAAGGGGAGGCCAATTTAGAAGGCAGGGGAGAAACAGAGGAGGAGCGGAAGAAATGGGGATGGGGAGGAGGGAACTAAGGTGGTGGTGGTCTTTCTTTTTCTTCTCACAATCAGTCACATAATGCAACAGTATATTTTGGTTTTCATGCATATCTTTATTGAGCTTTATGGAAAGCAAAAGGCAAAAATGGTTGCATAAAGCATGCATGTGTAGATGAGTTTGAGCCTTGAGGAGAGTGAGTGAGAGTAGCAACAGAAACTGACCGTTTCATCCATCCGGCTAGCTTTATTTGAATCATACGTTACTTTTGCTTTTAGTTTGTTTCGCACTTTTTCTCAAATCAATCCCATTGCTAAAGAGAGCAAGGAGGGGTTATTATGATTGTCAAGTAGATTCCCCAAGAGAGGAAAGCATACCCAAGATACATGTTTGTTAGGATTAGGATTGGATGGTTGATTACTAAATACACACGCACTAACTTCAACATAAACTCCAACCTTAAACCTAGAACTAACGGTGATCTGGTTCATCATACTGTAGAACCAACTGTAGTTAGTGCATAAGTTGATGGAGCGTACTGAAATAGTGGCGTGATGGTGGGCATGGCATGCAGATGATCGATGCAGGCAATTAAAGTGCGTACGTACGTGCTGAGGGAGGGAGGGAGGGGGACCAAATTACACGTACGTACCAGTTAGAGCTGTGGGGAATAGAAGAAGAAGAAGGAGATCGATGGAATTAAGCTGTAGGTAGTAGTGCGCCTGTGCCGGGCGGAATCTGGGATTCGATCCAGCCTTCCTTCCAGATAAACAGAGCTGCTGCTGAGATATTTAAACCTGAGCATGCATGGTTGGAATTCATTTATTACTTTAAAAAGTCCCTCCTTTCCTTTTTCTTTTTTGGTATTGCAGTGAACGTGTTGGGAATCTAATCTTTACTACTGGGTCAATGTGTTTTGGACTAGTTCTATATTGCATTTGGTAAACGGGGTTACGGTATGAGTTTGATCCCGATTCAACTTCTTTTAATGGGTTCTTCATAATTGATGTGGTATCAGAATCTTTTGTAATAGAAACGTCTCATATTTGAATCCCGCTATCTATTTTGTTAAGTCCATAATATTCATATCTGTGTAAACTCCAAACTCATTATATATGCTTGATTTTTGGATCAACCGGTTCTTAACTGCTGAAAAAATATTTGGAAAAATAGTGCACCTCAAGCAAATGAATTGAGACTTATGCATCCAACTGGTCATTTACGTTAAAACTCCAACTCAGGTTTATATACTGCACCTCGAGCATATGCAATTGGTCATTTAATTACCGTATACAATTTATTTTAAATAAATTCCTATACTTGGAATATTATGTTCAAAATTTTACAAATGAATTGAATTGATTTCTCAAATGATTCTAGAAAACATGGAAATTTTACAATGCTATATAGTATTGGTTCTATAGGGTTTTGCTTTTATAGTACAACTTAAAATTGTACATTTATGTTATGGTACAACTTAAAATTGTACCTATATTTTTTGTACAAATTCTGTTACGGTACAATTTGAACTTGTACCTTTATGTGATGGTACAACTTCAAGTTGTAAAGTTGTATCATAACATAATGGTACAAATTTTTTTATGGTACAACCTAAACTTATACATTTAATGTTATGGTACAATTTTAAGTTGTACATTAAAGCACCAATACTATATAACATAGTAGAAGTGTTTGGAAAACATTTATACTTGAGTTAAAACTAAAATCTTTCAAATATACTCTTTAACTGGACAAACGAATTGCTAGGATTGTGGTGCACATTTAAGGGCTCGTTTGCTTGTTGGATTTGAAAATGAGGGTTTTAAATTTTAAAATATCTTTGGATTTATGATGGGTTTATTGCATTAAGGATTTGGAAGAGTACATTGTTTGTTTACTTAATTTTTATCATGGATTTATGACAGATTTTTGCCTTTCATTATCAAATCCCAAATTAAATGTGGGATTTGCAAATTCGTGGGGTCCATGGATTTGGATCTAAAAAAATGTTCCAAATCTGTGGCCCCATGGATTTGGATCTAAAAAAAAAGTTCAAAATCTGTGGGCCTCACGGATTTATGCCAAATACTTGATGCAATTGGTATTTAAGTGCCAAATCCATCATCTAAATCCCACAAGCAAACGATATAAATGTAGTCAGCGAAAGCTTGCAGCAATTACGTCACATGGAGCACCAAACGAAAGAACATAACAATTCACAAGGAGCTTGCATGTAGGGGTGAAAGCTTGACCTGGAAGACCCACTAACCCGTCCCGTCCTTAAAGGTTGGGGCGGGTCAGTTTGTCTACAGGGTCGAATTAGGGACGAGTCATTTGTTGACCCTGTAAGGGTCGGGACGGGTTGAGACAACTTAGGGACGGGTCACTTTTTGACCCTGTGAGGCTGTGACCCTTAGCAACAACAAATATCTCACACCACATCAAACCTTTTGTAAAGTTTTAAAAGTTTAGGTACTAACTTGTAAAAATAAAAAATTTGGGTACGAAAACGTAATTTTACCATCAAAATTTATGTACTTATTTGTAAAAAAAATAATTTTAGGTACTAAATTGTAAGAAAAAATAATTTTGAGTACCAAAACATAATTTTAATAGTGTTTTATTAGAGTCGACCCACTGATCCGACCCATCCCAACCCGTTCCAATCTTTGACTAGGGTCAAGAAGGAAACAGGGTCAAACAAGATTAGTGATGGATCAGGGATGGGACCGACCAAATTTTCAGCCTACTTGCAGGATGTAGGAGACAATCAGTCCTTAGATGTTAGATTAAGGTGCGGGGAAGATAAGGCTTGGAGCATTTGCTTCGGGTGAGAAATAAATAGGATAATATAATTAGTAATTAATTATAGTTTTGTCGTTTTATAATAATTAGTAAAATACTTGTGGAATTCATTTGAAAATCCCGACTCAACTCTTAGAAACTTAAAATGAATTTCTTTTGTTTAAAACATAAGAGTATATCATTATAAAATGAGTTCTTACATAACGTTTGTTATTGTGCCCATGACACAATCTTTGATAACATACTCACAAGGACGCACGATCCGATAGTTGGACGTCAGTCTGTGAACACGTTCTTATATATATTCTATAAGCACCATATCAAATGTTCATTTACACCAAACAATATGTTAAGAGTTTAGGGGAGTTGCGGTGGGCGGTGTAAATATAAGTGTGTGAATCATGTGATGATCGTATCCGTAAGTCGCTATCTTGCTAGTTGCTAGCACTAACATTGGCCGTTTGCATTATCTCCAAAAGAAAGAAAAGATGAGTAAAAGTGCGCAAATCTCAATCATTTGTGATTTTATTATCATTCTTCCGCCCGTGGGGCTATTTCGGTTTCCACTAATGCATACAGCGGCGATGATGATGGGTATGTGCGCTGTGCCATCATCATGCACCATCGTCGTCAACGGTGGGGATGCAGGACGCTCAGCTAGGGTTTGAGGATTATGATGAGGAGAAATTTCTTGGTTGGGATTTTGCAGGTGATCGCTAATAAGTGTAGTGTGGTTTGAGACATGGGTTATGATGACGATCATCGTCATCATTGTTGAGCATGCCCGTGATGATGATGCTGATGATGTGATCAGTACCATAATGTATGGTTTCCTGAAAGTGGGAGCTAAGTTTTCGATCGATTTGAATGGATGGGTGGGCGTGTCTAGTTTTAGATTGCGATTCGTAGTAATTAAGGATAACTTGGTTGAATCATACAAGCATTTTCCCCCTGGTGATTATGCACAAGTTTTCATAACAAAGTAAACCAAAGCTTACTAGAATTAGTTAATTTGTGATAATAGAAGTGATTTTCTGCTTCAAAAGTCGTTTCAAACGCTTTTAAAAGTTTGGTTTTAAAAACTGAAAAGTGACGAACAAGGGTTTGGTCTACTGATAATTTCACTAGCCCTAAACCTGGAGGTCTCAAATTTAAATCCTTTAAATAGTACCTGATCACAAAAAGTAAAACATATATCACCCTTATAACAAAAATTGAAAAGTGTTTTTTATAACATAAAGTATAATGAAAAGTTGTTTTGCAAAAAGAATATATTGTTATTATATTAAAAAATTGCCCAAAATTTTATTTTATTTTATTTATATCATTTCAAAACAAAAATAACCTAAATATTATTAAATAATATAAAATAAATCGAGTAAGATGTGTTTTTACAATTTGAATTTTAGTTATATTTTAAATTACATATATTTTTAGTCATTTAATATTATCTATGATATTAACACACTACTAATACTTTATCAACAAAAAAAAAACTATTTTTCAAGTTACAACACGACCAAACTAGTTCATCATTTTGATAGTCATATTATGATAACATCAATGTCGATGTTCAAACTAGAGCAAATATATATATATAAAAAGTAACATTCATTTTAAATGTCTCTCGACTACTCGACTTGTTGCTCCACATGGAAGATTTGCTTACCATTAGGAATGTGGGATCATTCATTTTTCTCGAGCTTAACCCAATAAGTGTTTGATTTGATGCGGTAGCAATCTGGTTGACTTGCAACTGACGAATTTTTAATTTTAGAGGGTATAACGTACCCAAAATATGTGAGATGCAACTATTAAAATATTCCTTAGATTCAACTTGGTAAAAGAAATATACTCTTGGCAATTCCTAAGATAAAAAGTGGTAAAATATTTTAACAATATTTATCCTTCCAGATAATTAATAAAGATAAAATTTTTAACCATAAATTTAGTCTTGAACAATAATTTAAACCAAAATAATTTTCTTTGCATAAAATAAACCTAAAAACACATTGATAATAATTAAGCACATGAGTTTGTACCTTCACATCAAGCTAAAGCAAACATCTTCAATGGCTCTATTTCAAAGTTTGTTTCTCTTGGTACTAACCTAGTTGATTAACTCCCTTCTGTGTTATCCAATAAATTCAACTTAATTATGATAATATAATGATATCAACTTTTGTAAAATTTAAAATAAATTGTTAGGATATCAATAATTTCTTCTTACACTGAAACTATCATGTACATTAATGGTATCTAAATAATAAGTAAATATACCACCATGATACAAATTTATATCATAACCATTTAAAACTGATACTATGTTCGTATAGGTTTGAAACACCGTAATATGGTAACGACACACGACAGTGGCCACATCTTCAAGAGGATAAAACGTTTTATTTTAAAACATATCAAAATTGATATAATTACGTAGACTACACATATTATAATCTTATCGCGCGAAAATATATGAATTATTATTTAAAAATTAAGGAAGTAAGAATTGATAAACATAACCGGAGATTCAGGAAAAAAGTAAATAAGAGTGGCATATGTCAAACTTTAATAGGATGATTAGAAAATTAAGATTAATAAAATAAAAATCAAACTATCATAATAATATACTTTCTAACTAAGAAGCATATTTACTATAAAAAAAACATGAGAGGCGCTCTCTCCTCTCTCCTGGCTAGTTGGTGGACGATTGCTCTTCTCCCCACGTTCAAGCTTAGCTGCAAAGCCGGCAGGTTCTTCTGGCGTTCCCTGACATTGGTGTTCGAAGCGGCCCTCGCTAATAAGGGATCGCATGCAGTCAGCCGGGGTGGAGGGCCTGCTGAAGAGGAATGGGTATCTGTTGAACTGCCGCAAATCACCTTTTGGGTGCCGGAGAAATTTGAGGGCACCTCAGGCACCGCCATTCTCCGAAATTACGGACCCACCTCGGCGAAAGCTAAAAGGAAAGCAGCCTTTCCCCAAGATAGCCGCCGAGTCAAGCGATTGAGGCGGGTGGATTTTCAAAGATGGCGATTCTTTCTGCCCTCTTCCGAGGAAATTGAGTGTGTGGAACTCTCTAATCCTGCCTGTAATACCCCTACCCCGCTAGAACTCAGACCCCGAGATGGGGCTAGGTCTTTTGAACCACGCGAAGAGAGATCGGTGGTGGCGGTGGTGACACAGTTCCGCGGGCGGTGTTCAGGCACGCGGTGGCGCTCTGCCGGCCGCTTGGCCAGAATAATAAAAAAATTTAAAATAAAAAAAGAAAACAAACAAATTTGGATTGTGATCCGGCGAGGGAGCCTAGCGGTTTGGCTATCGCCCGTGATTAACGCAACTGCCCTGGGTTTTCCAGCTGAATTGAATCTTTTAAGGATTGCGATTATCCGCCAATTCCTTTAATTTGAATTTGAGATTATCCCCCAGTCTCCCACATCTCGTTGAACAGCCCAAAACGCGGTGTTCCCCTGCCTCCCGTCCCTATTTATTGAGCGGCAACCGGACAGAAACCTCATTGCAATTTTCGCAAGAGAAAGGTCTTCTGATCAAGCATTGCGGCGCATCGGAGAGGACGAATCTCGAGGCAGGTAGGTGGGAGA